TTATTTCACTAACGCCACGCAGCAATTACCTTGAAAGACTGCAGACATAAAGCCAGAAATATAGATGAAACAAAGATGTATATATTGGTGCTGTTAGATTATAAATAAGACAGAAATAAGACCAAATAAAGCTAAGTAGGTTTAGAAGAAGAACAGCAAGAAAACTTATAGACATGGAACCAAAGAAAATTAAACAGGCCTTAATCCCCAAAAATACAGAAAGAATATTACAAAGGTTACGAACATGAGTTTTCCAAGTGTCAAGCGAACCACTTGTGTTGTACTCACCCCAACCAAAAAAAAAGATTTGAAGAAAATAGAGAAAAACTAAAGTGTGGAGGCAAACAACTATTTCAAGACATACCTAGCTCTCCAATGCAGTGTTTCAGCAAATAATGGTGAACTGTTGCGATAAGCTTGAACGATAGAATTAATTATAACCACAAAAGGGACAATATATGTATGTACTGCATTCGAAAATTTTAAATATGAACTGAGAACTCAAAGGAAGTGAATGAGTACGTCACGTTTGCTATGTAGAAGAGCTAAAGGATGACTTTGTGTTAGCTATATATAAAAAGAGACAAGGAGAAAATGCATAATGAGCATTACTTCAAGAGAAGGTGATGCCATGTTTAAAAAGATGGTTTTAGAATATTTAAAAGCAAACCTAGGTAGCACGTAACAACACACATCTCTCTACCAACCCAATTTCAAGGAATCCTTTTACCAAAAATAAAAAATTTCAAGGATCTTTTTGCATTTTGCAGATCCAATATTTTGAACTACTCTAATGTATGATAATATGAATCGAACTTGGGTTGCCACACTGTATTGGTCAATATTTCCTAACACACATTTACACATGTGAAGGAATTTTCTAATAATTAAGTTGGATTTTAAGGATATGAGTTACCAAATTTATTAATGAATTGTCGCTCAACAATAAAGAATGATAAGCAAGAGTATATACCTCCTTAACCTTAACTAACGAGGAAGGCTGGTATAAATACTAGCCCTCTATAACAAGGAAAATAAAAGTTGGGGGATAACTCTAACAGGGAAATATCACTTTTAATAAGTTCCATATAGACAGAAAACTAACCCAACTCAAGTGTCAAATATATTTCTTCAAGCGAAGGCGATCCTAGCTGCTACCCTTTTCAAAAAGATGGTTTTAGAATATTTAAAAGCTAAACCTAAATAATTCCCTGAACATCCAGCTCAAGCGTATATGCATGCCATGCCCAAGTTTTTTAAGCACATTCAAATACCAACAGTTGAGCCAAAGATTCAATATCGTAATTACATATGATAAGGAAGGTCCAAATATATCTATTTTATTCAATACAACTAAAGAGCAAATATAATTACTAAATTATGTGATGTTCTGACGCGCAATGGCAGGATTTGAAGAACATTAACATGGAACATGTACAATTAGTGATGAAAGCGACGACATCTAATAAGAAAGAAATTGGTATGTCATGGTATCTTGTAGATGTGCACTGCAACATATCATGTAGTCTTGTCCTCAAATTATTGGCTTCTAATAATATTAAATTCTTCTCAAAGATGATACATGCTAATACAAATTATTTAAATTTCTACCTAAATGCTGATTATCCATGATAACACAAATTTTGGGCAAAGGAGGGTCAGCATGGCTAGAACTATATGAAAGTGTGCGATAGTGGAATCTAAGTGCCGTACATAGTTTCTTGCCCGGAGATTCAAGAACGTATATTAACTTTTAGGAAGAATAATATTATGATAACACTAGCAGTGCACTCATAATAAATTCAACAGGATCTAGATCTCTATAAGATCTGCCGTAGCTGCAAGGTGTCATTTTGGCAGCATATCGCTGAAACTCTAATGACACATGGCGCTACGTGAGAATGACAGACGTCTTTAGATGCTGCCACTTGTCATTCTCTTCTATTTACTATTATTTTTTAATGTTTTAACTTCCAAAAATCATAATAAATTTATTAAAAAGTAGAAAAATACCCCAAAAAATCCTTGTGACATTTTCTAAATGTTTTGAGATTTAAAATATAAATTTGACTTATAAAAAAATCAAATAATTTCTCAAAGTCAAGTTTGTATAACACCAAATGTGAAGATCATTACCCTTTATCACAACAACTCTACCTCCAATTATTTCTTCAAATTTCCCAAAATTTCACGCTTGATAGTCGAAGATAATGTCGCAATGAGTTTTTAGAAATTTTTGGTGTATTTTCTGATTTTTTTAATTAATTTTGTGTGTGTATTTATTAAGATAAATACACACAAAATGAAACTCTAATAACATGTGGCGCTACGCGAGAATGACACACATTTGAAGTACTAACAATGCACTATTCAGATGCTGCCACTTGTCATTTTCTTCCATTTATTACTTTTTTTAATGCTTTAACTTCCAAAAATCATAATAAATTCATTAAAAAGAAGAAAAATACCCCAAAAAAATCCTACAAACTCCTGTTGACATTTTCTACATATTTTGAGATTTAAAATATAATTATAAAACCATAAAAAAAAAAATAATCACTCACAACAAAACAAAAAAGAAAATTGTTGCATGTTCTTGCTAAGGTGCATAACCATAACCATGATGATACATAAATGACCCATTATCCCCATAAACAGCTAGAAATATGCAACAAGCGTGATACTCAATGATGCTATGATACAAAAAAAAACATGATACACATGATGATACATAAATGACCCATTATCCTTATAGACAGCTTGAAATATGCATCAAGAATGATACACAATAATGCTAGGATACACATTCATTAATTGACATGGCATGTCAATTAAAAAATAAATTAAAAAACCTAGCATTCCTAGTGAGTGGCCTCATGGCAACATTCATTAATTGACATGGCATGACACATCAATTGCCACATAAGGTGGTCAGTTAAGGTGGTCAATGTTGTGTGTCCAAATAGCATTACTCTATGCTAATTAGATGAAATTGTATTCCTATCTTCTAAATTAGTAAACTATATTGTGTTTTTAAAACTAAAGCTCCCAATTTTAAAATGCCTATCAATAATAAAAGTATTTTCTAGTAGGTTCTTCTTCAAAAGCATTTATATTTCAGCTTTTGCTAAGAAAAATGCTTATAATAAAAGTGTTTATGAGTGCTTCTTATAAAAGACAGTCCTAAACAAGTCCTTAATAATTTAAAACAAAATAAAGTTTGTACAAATAAGAGAATATGAATGCCCTTGTTCCAAATTAATGTTAATTGGCTCAAATTATATAGAGCAAGAATTCAAGAAATTGAAGGTTTATAAAGGCAAAATTCGCATTGAATAAAAAAACAAAGAAAAAAAACATGAATTCAAAAAGGGTTAAGAAGAAAAAGCAAAATTAAAATTTAAAAAAACAAAGGAAGGAAAAAAAAAGCATGACGAAGACGAGTGTCCGGAAAGACTCCGAGAACTTGTTTGTCCTTTTCCAAAGAGCTGCACCCACCACATGGAAGTGAAAAGCTAACATCAATATCATTGGCTCAACTAGATTCTTCTGAGCTAGGCTTGTCTGGAATCGAGATTAGATTCTACCTGCTGCACTTGGGCGGTAGCCTCAACCAGTGATGTTTCAGTGGGCCACATTGGAAGGTAATTTTAGAAGATCCAAGGTTTTAATTGCTTGTATGATGAATTGGCACATGGAACCGTAAACACGTGTCCGGGTGTAGCGTAGATGGGACCAGTCACTTGCAGTGGAGTGGAAATAGAAATAAGCCACCTCTTTACGGAAATGGGATGGAAGTATCCTGCGCTGTGTATTGCTTCACACGTTAATGCTTGAAAATCGCGTGTTCAACGTTGTCTTCATGTTGGACTAAGAAAACGAAACGATTGCAATTATTTTTTGAAATTATTATTCACGAAAATATGACATATTATATATCAAGTACTATCTTCCATAAGGGAAATTTATAATAAACCCTATTTCTAGCATTGATTATATATAAACATTAAAATCTATAAATTGCAGAATAAAATTTGGTATAGTATATTAATACGAGGTTACCATAGTGGTCGTGGCCTTCCTCCTCCCCTCCTGCTTGGCACCCAAAATCGAAATTCCAAGTTGTCTTTGATCCCATCTCCAAATTGTGAGTATGTGAAAAAAAAAAAAAAAAAAAAAAAAAAAAAAAAAAAAAAAAGGAATTGTGTGTGTATAGTTTTTTTTTCACTTGAAATTTCTTTCGTAGAGAAAAATCTGATACAAAGCCCAAAAAAGGCAAGTCACAGCAAACACAAAAGCCAAAAAATGGCCCACAACAAAACAAAACCCCAAACCAGCAAACAGAAACCACAACCGTTGTCACCAACTCCACATCTGAGCGGATGGGAGAAACAACCAAAGGGATCTGCAGCAAGGAGGCCAAAGAAACAAACCACCATCACAACGCCACAAACAGGAGCCAAATAAACCATAGCAAGAAACTGAATGTTAGGTTAAACAAGAGGATCTCCTAATTAACGGAATGTTACTCATACTATAACATCGTATTTCTGAGTGCTTAATTCGAAAAAAAGACCCCTAAATTAATTAACTTACAAATTTTTAAATGCTACAAACTTTGTGAACTTCAATTTGCAAACGGTGCAATTATTATTTTTTGTTTATACAATCGATATTGGGGGAAGGAGGAGTCGGCCCTAGGACCTCAGTGCAATGATAAATGCTCTTAATACCACCTGAGGTAGAAGCCCCTTCCACAAAGGTGCAATTTGATCAATGGTATAATGGATTAATTGAGAAAAGTGCAGATTATTAAAATTAAATAACAGAAATAAACAAGCCAACAGGGAAACAAAAAATTAACAAATTAATATGCATGAACAGTCAAAGAAATTAAATCATAAAATAAATTTATTTAATATGTAATTCAATTACAACAACTTTCATCCAACAAGATCTCTTATTAAGATGATGAACTTTAAAGGAACATCAAGAATATTTCATCCATCAGTAGGCACTTCAAATTGGCAAACAGGACAATAGTGACTTTGTTTGAGCCACGTCACTATGCATTTTTCATGAAACAAATGTGAGCAAGGCATGCAAGCGATTTCTGATCCTTCATTAAACTCTTCCATGCAAACAGTGCAACTATCACTTTCACAAATTTGCCTTCTTTTTCTCTCTCGACGCCCCTCTTCCTTATCATCCTCCTCCTCCTCCTTGTCCCCATCACACACTCTAACCCTCTTCAGAACCTTCTCAATCGCTGAGTCGCTCGCCGGGATCATACCCTCGTTAATACCATTGCTCATTAATATTCTTTCTATTAGTTGCATGCACGGCTCATAACGATGCTTGAGGTGCACTTTTTTCATGTGAACGCACAACCCCAAAACCTTACGACCCATGTTGCTAACCCTATTGCTAATTATGAGACCCTGTTCTATAATCTTCTCCACAATATGTCTACTAAACGCATCCCTTCTATTGATTCCAACTACCTCCAGCATGCTACAAAGAATCAAGTGCACCTCGCAGTAATTCTTTAACATGTCCATGTCGAATCGGCGGTTTACTGTCTTTGTTTTCATAAATTCTATGACGGTGGTTTCAGTGTTTAAGGAATGATTAATGTATTTGTAATGGGATTGATGCACAAGCTTAACATGAAACTGAACCCGCTGTACTGATGAACGGCTCTGATTATGAACATGATTAGGGTTGTCTAATTTTGCGGTAATGTCTTGGATGCGAAAGCCAAAGCGTTGCTGGTCGCGATGGATGGCAGGGAAGTCTTCCATGGAAATTAGTCAAGGCTAGAAACTCAGTTTCAGAATTTCTTCGGTTATTCTGAAGAAGTAATATATACCGTCGGTATAGTTCTAACAAATAAACACATATATTTATGTAGGGATGGTGGGCCTTTAAATGAAACTGGTAAGCACAGGCCAATTACTTGTTACTCTTTTTGTTTTCGAGAAAAATTGTTCGTTACTCTTTTTTGGGTTTAAATGCCTTTTTGGTTATTGAATTTTACACAAAATTTCAATTTAGTCATTAAAAGTTTTTAGCCAAATTAGTCATTGTATTATTTGAAGTTTATAATTTATAGACATGGCTTTAGTTTTCCATTAACTGGCTGGGTTAAATACTCTTTTGGTCATTGATTTTTACATAAAATTTCAATTTGATCATTAAGAAAAAAAAATTAGTCCAAGCTAACTGTAAGCTAAAAATTTTATACAACATAAATTAAGACTAAAAATATGCTTTAATTAATTCATGGGGACATTTTGGAAAAAGCAAAAGGAGAGAGAAAAATTTTAAAAGAAGCAAAAATGGATAAAAATGCCCTTATTTATTTTTAGATTTCCTAAGGAATCCAATACATTTGCATGTCTTTGATTTGAAAGTTGAGCGGTTTTTTTTGTCTTTTTTGAAAAAGCTTTGGCTTTTTCCAAAAGCGAAAATTTTTTTATGTCTAAAACCTAAAAAACCTAAAAAAAAATTCCTATTCCAGGTCAAGATAATGTAGTCGAAAGTATTTTATTTTATTTATTTATTACTTTCTTAACATTAGCAATATTTAAAAAAGGAAAAATCAAACTTATGACCCGAATATAGGGATAAATACAACCATCTCACTTGATACTTTTTAATAACGATAAGATAATTTTAAGGTCTCTGGATCAAGATAATTTATAAAAGCGATTTGAGTTAGTAGAGAAGATTCTAGAACCGATTTTCACTTAAAAAAGAAAAAGAAAAGAGAAGATTCTAGAATTTTTGAATAAGGCAAAGTGTTCGTGTTGTGTGATGATGCAACATTTGGGTGCCATGGATGGAATTACCGGAGTGACTCCTCTTTTTCTTTTGGGTGGAGCATTTTGTTAAAATCCCAAATAGATAATGAAAAAGCAACAAATAAGCAAGACGGCCCATAGGGAAATCGTAAAGTAAAATTAAGCATCTCCAGATAGTAGAGAGACTCAAAGACCAAGCTGACCTGATATGCGATTCAGAGACAGAAAATAGATACAAATCCTAACCCTAGAGGGAGTAGTAAGGTATGTTGTTGTGGGTAAAATTCGCATGTGTATTCTATTTGTTTGCTGGATTTGATATGATGGTAGTTCTAATTCCAATTTGATCTTCATCCTTTCTGTTCCAGTGAAGCTTGTTGTTTGGAGATTCTCTGCTACATTACTCAAATCTTCTCGAAGGTAGGCCAATTGTAAGTTATGTTAGATTTCTTGGTATTCTAGCTGGGTTTTGCGAGTGGTTTTGTTAGAGAAGAATAGAAGAACAGAAAATAATGGAAAATTGCTCTGCTTACTCACCAAGTCTGTGAGCGAGACGTTTTGTATATATTTTTGTCTGTATGTAAGAATGAGCTCATATGGCATGTACTACATGAACGTTAGCTCTTAGCTAGATTCACACAAGTTACAATGAATCTCGGCCATCCATCTGTCCCAAATCTAGAATCACTACATATGACTATTTTGACCTCACACTTGGCAAATATGCTCAAGTGAATACACACATAAAGTTCATCTTATTTCACTAATACTAATCAGCTATAGACTTATAATTCAACACTCACCTTTAAGTCTTGAGCTGATTTCATTCCGAGCATACTCCTGAGATAGTTGAAGTGATCCTTAGCCAAAGGTTTTGTGAAGATATCTGCTACCTGCTCTTTAATGGGACAATACATCAAATCAATGATTCATTCCTGCAGTGCATCCTTAATAAAACGATACCTTCTGTCAATGTGCTTGGTCTTCTGATGGAGCACAGAATTATTTGTAATAGCAATGGCAGAAGATCACAGTGAAGAGGACTAGCTTCAGTTTGTATTTCTCCAAAATCTTCCAAAACGAACCTCAGCCATATTGCTTGAGTTGTGGCTTCTGATGCGCTTATATATTCAGCTTATGCAGTTGAAAGTGCATCACAGTTTTGCTTGACTGAAGCCCAAGAAAACACCCCACTCCCAAATGAGAATGCATATCTTGATGTACTTTTGCTGTCCTCCAATGAGCCACCCTAATCACTATCACAGAAGCCGATTAAACAAGCTTTCCTTCCCTTCACATACTCCAGGCTATAATCCAAAGTTCCCTTGATGTATCTGAGTACTCTCTTTGCAATTCCATAGTGTTTATTGGTAGGACAGTGCATAAATCTTGCCAATAAACTTGCTGCATGCATTATATCTGGCCTTGTAGTAGTGAGATATAGAAGGCTTCCCATAGTGCTTCTATACCTTTCCTCACTCGTAGATCCATTTCCATCATCTTTAGATAACTTCTCAGTAGCTACAAGAGGAGTTGTGATGGTCTTTGCTTCATTTAATCCAAACTTACTCAGTAAAGAACTTGCATACTTCTTCTGGTGAATGAAGATGCTAGAGTTAGTTTGAATCACTCTCATTCCGAGGAAGTGGTGAAGAAGTCCCGAATCTGTCATCTCATACTTCATTTTCATGTATTCCTTGAACTCTTCCAGAATTGATTTGCAACTGCCAGTGTAGACTATATCGTCCACATAGATAGAAACAATCAAGATATCTTCTCCCCTTGCTTTTATGTACAGAGTTGGTTCACTCAAGCTCTTCTTGAAACCACACTGTGAGAAGTAATTGTCAATCTCTCCATACCAAGCTCTCGGAACTTGTTTTAGACCATAGAGAGCCTTATGAAGCTTGTAGACCTTTTCCTCCTTGCCTTTGACTACAAAACCTTCCGGCTACTCAACATAGACCTCTTCTTGTAGAACTCCATTCAAGAAAGTCGATTTCACACATCTAATTGATACAGTTTCTAGCTCTTTTATGCAGCCAAGGCTATTAAGGTTCTAATGGTATCCAACCTAGCAACCGGTGCATAAGTCTCATTGTAGTCCAAACCAGGCTTTTGTGCATAGCCCTTTGCAACCAGCCTTGCTTTATTCTTCAACACTGTGCCATCAAGATTTAACTTTGTTTTATAGACCCATTTAACCCCTATAACAGGTTTTTCAATTGGTTTGTCAACAAGTGTCCAGGTGCCATTTTATTCAATCATAAACAGCTCATCCTCCATAGCTTTTAACCAAGACTCGTCTTGTTTGGCATCCTCATATTTCTCTGGATCCATAATGCACAGATTGCATTGAGCTAACACTTCATTTAGATTCCGCCACTTCAATGGTGTATGATCAAATGCTTGATTATGCCTTTCACTTAAGTTTGACATGCTTGCAGATTCACTTGAGATAGGTGACTTGGATTGAACTTCAGAGTCTTCAATACTAAGAACTCTCCTAGGTGGAGATAATGTAGATGATGTAGGAGACAACACCATTATGTCACTGCTTCCTGTACTTATGTCACCATAAATAAAACTTCCAGCATTGGGGGATATTGACTCTAAGTTCTCTTCCCAATTCCAGGCAGCTTCTTCATCAAATACAATGTCTCTTGACAAGAATAGTTTCTTGGATAGTGGATCAAATACCCTATACCCATTTTCACAAGTTGCATATCCTACAAATACACCTTTGAAGCTTTTAGGCTCAAGCTTGTGTCTGCATTCAACTGGGACATGAACATAGCATAATGAGCCAAATATTTTCAGATGTGCTATTCTTGGTTTTCTTCCAGAATAAGCTTTAAACGGTGTGATGTTATTCAAGGCCTTTGTGGGACATCTATTTAGAATGTACACTGATGTATGCACTGCCTCTGCCCAGAGAAAATATGGCATTTTCTTCTCATGCAACATGGATTTAGCCATCTCAATCACCGTTCTGCTCTTCCTCTCCACTACTCCATTTTGTTGTGGAGTATATGCAAGAGTGAATTGCCTTTGTATTCCTTCATTCTCACAGAATAGAACAAATTTAGATGACTTGAACTCCCCTTCTCTATCACTTCGCATGCAGTTAATCTTGAATCCACTTTGTAACTCTGTCATAGCTTTGAATTTTCTAAAACAATTGAATGCATAAGACTTATATCTCAGGAAATAAACCCAAGTCATTCTGGAGAGATCATCTATGAACAACATGAAATACTTATTTCCAGCAATTGAATCATTCTTCATAGGTCCACACAGATCAACATGAACCAGTTCAAGTGGAGCAGTTGCTCTTTATGCTTGATTTCTTGGAAATTCTTCTCTGTGTTGTTTTCCAAATTGGCAGCTCGTAGATTCCATTGTAGTCTTCAAGCTGGGGCAACCCATGCACCATTTCCTTGTCTCTCAATTGTTTGAGACCAACAAAATGTAAGTGCCCAAGTCTCTTGTGCCAAGTCTCAGTAGAGTGAGTAACACTAGCTTTTAAGACCACTTGGTTCTCGGATAATAAAGCCAATGGATAGCACCTATTCACTTTCTTCTTCACTTTCATTACTAAGCTTTCCAGTGATGAACCATCATATATACTGCACATTCCACCACCAAACACCAAGAAATATCCATGTTCATCCATTTGACCCACACTTAGCAAATTTTCTTTTAAAGCAGGCTGATACATTACTTCTCTAACATACTTTCTGCCCTTATTTGTATCAATCACCAATGAGCCCATTCCTGCTATATTCACAAGATCTCCCGTCGGCATTTGAACTTTTCCAGCTATTTTGGTTCTTACATCAACAAGCAATTCTACATTCCCTGTCATGTGGTTGCTACAACCACTATCGATGTACCACTCTCCATTCACCCTTGGTCCTGTGACTGTGCTATTTGCATAAAATAGATTCCCTGTCATCTCCACTTGGTTAGCACTGTTTGCCTTTTGCATTGTTTTAGCTGCAATACATTCTCTAGCCAAGTGACCAAATCTGTCATAATTGTAGCACTTTGGCTTGCCTTTGTATCTGCATTCTCCAAAATGGTACTTTGAGCACACTTTCCACTAAGGTTTTATAACTTCTTTTCTTGCTAGCTGTGATGAATTGAAGCTGTGATTTGGTGCAGGATTATTCTGATGTGGCTTTCCTTTTGACTCCTATGATTTCCCCTTAGGATTCCAATTCTTCTGAGACTTCTGACCACTGGACTGATCAGTAGCATCAACGGTGTGCATATCAAAACGTTGTTCTTGGCTTGTAAGGATAGCAAAGATCTCCTGTAATTCAACAGTCTCTATATTCTTCGTATTCTCAATTACAAGACAGATAGGATCATATGGTTTACTAAGGCTAATAAGAACTTTTTGCACAAGTCTTTCATTAGACAGAATTTCACCAAACGTTTTCATTTGATTTATCAACTCATTTAGCCTAGTAAGATACCCAGACAAAGTTTCATCATCACGCATTCTAGCATATTCGAATTCGTGTCTTAGATTTTACAATTTCACAGATCGTACCTGCTCACCACCGTGATATTCTGTAATAACCCAAACCCAAAATTAATATTTAATTATTAATTTATTTGAGAAAAAGACTAAAATACCCCTAGAATATTTTATTAGTTTAAAAGTTGACTTTTTGACCGGGAAGGAATTTGAGGATTCTAGTTGTACTGTTGCGTAGAGCGCGACAAAAGGAGTCCGTAGACACGTAGTGGACTCAAAACGGAGTTGTAACGAAGGAGTTACGAGCAAAAGAAGTTCAGTGGCATAACCGTAAATATCTCGAACTTCAATTTTATAAACCCAGAATCTTCTGGATTCGGGAGGGGAACGAGCCGACTTTCTGAGCTGATTCCTCTCAGCTCCGACCCCCGATTCAGGCAATATCAGTGCCAAATGAACCAAGAAACTTCCCTCTTCCAACCCCAGCCCTTCGCCGCCACGATCCGCCGCCATAGTCGCCGGAAACAGCCACGAAACAGGCGGCGCTGGACAGTTTTTGACAGAACTTCCAAGCGTTCGTTCTCCGTCGTCCGGCCACCAAATCGGACGAGTGAGGTATGGTTTTCTAGCTATTTTTCATGCTCTAGCTGCTGGTTGGGTAGGATTTCAGAAATTTCTAGCGTAAATAGCTCGATTTACGAGTTAGGTTTCAGCCGGTTTTCGAGTCACTGTTCCGGCCATTTCCGGCCACTTTTTGGGGTAGGTCCAAGAACAAAAGTGGTTCCAAATAGGGTGTTTTACCTAGGATAGGAGTCTTGAACCGAGATGTTGAGATTTTCCGGCGAGGCGTTATCGCTTTAGGCACCACGCGCTGCCAGCGCGTGTGGCGGCGCGTGGGCAGCAGGGTGGGGACCACAGTCAGTCCTAGAGTGATCTCCTAGTCCTCACGAGCGCGTAGGATTTCGCGGATCTTAATTCGGATAACGTTTGAACCCCGAACGGATCTCGCCTAGTATGCGATTTCCGGGTTCTATACGTTTGAACCGTTGGATCGTAGTCAATTTCAAGTATGTTGATCTAGGTATTTCCAAGATCGTATAGTATTTGACGGATCGTAAAACGGAGTCCCGGATACTCCAGAAATGTCAGCCCTAGAGTATGTTTTACGGATAATTAAACCAGTTACAAAATAACAAACTAGTTGCAGGTCAAGAACAGAGGAAAGAACTACGTGTGGCTTGATCCCTCAGTAAGGGTACGTAGGCAGCCTACCGTTACCAGGCGCAGCCACGAGTTAGGGCCTTGGGGTTTGTGTTATTGTTTTTCAGGGCCTTTTGATCATTTAAGACCCACAGTTACCAGGTGTTAGTTTTAAACAGGATTCGGCCCGGATTTCAAAGTGGAAATTGGGTCGGGTCGTTTCATATTCTCCGTACAACAAATCCCATGCCACCTTCGCTGATTCAGCATTGGCGATTCGAGGGAAGATTTTATCCGAGACTGCATTCTGAATGATTCCCAAAGCCTTTGCATTTTGCATCAACACAGCAGCCATTTGTCCATCTACATCATCCTCCGATGATCCTTCATCCTTCTTCTTCCCCGAATCAGAAGGTTTAACTCCCTTCTCTACCAAATTCCACAACTCATGTGATTTAAAAATCGTCATCATCTTGGTTCTCCAAAACTCGTAGTTCTCACCAGAGAAAATTGGAGTTCTCACTTCGGAACCTCCAGATCCAGACATCTTTGGTATGAATGGGTTGATTTCTCTTCTCAGATGATAATGGGTCTCTGGCAGCTTTCATCGAGCTTCAACTCAGCTCAATGGGTTCACAGATTTACGCCCAGGCTCAGATGATCGAACCTGGCTCTGAGGCCATGTTAGATTTCTTGGTATTCTAGTTGGGTTTTGTGAGTGGTTTTGTTAGAGAAGAATAGAAGAATAGAAAATAATGGAAAATTGCTCTGCTTACTCACCAAGTCTGTGAGCAAGACGTTTTGTATATATTTTTGTCTGTATGTAAGAATGAGCTCATACGGCATGTACTACATGACCGTTAGCTCTTAGCTGGATTCACACAAGTCACAATGAATCTCGGCCATCCATCTGTCCCAAATCTAGAATCACTACATATGACTATTTTGACCTCACACTTGGCAGATATGCTCAAGTGAATACACACATAAAGTTAATCTTATTTCACTAATACTAATCAGCTATAGACTTATAATTCAACAAGTTATGCAATTCAATTTCAGTTGAACATAGACCACTGGCTTGCTATTGATGTTGACTAGCCAGGAGGATAAATTAAGCAATCTGTGCTAATTACTTTTGTTTTTCTTATGGAGCCTTTATGCTTGCTAAGAATTTAAAGGTTATTAGGGATTCATTGTGGGTCTTAATTCATTAGTTTTGGCGAATTTCGTATGCAATTTTTCACTGATATAAATCTGTTCACCCTTTGACATACTGATGGCTAGATTGGTTGTAATTTAACATTAGGTGAATTATATCCCTTTGTTTTCAGTCAGATAATTATTGCAATGGGAAAGATGAAGACAGAGGAGGATGGTGCAGCCTCCAAGGTTAAGTCAACCGGCAAAGATGCTACTAAAGATGGGAAGACGGAGAAACTATCAGTCTCTGCCTTGTTGGCCAACATGGACTAGAAGCCCAAAAAGCCCTAGGAAGGATCTTCCTCAAATGCAAAGACAAAAGGTGCTCCAAACCGTCCATCATACACTGATGGTATTGATCTCCCTCCCTCAGATGAAGATGTGTTGGAAGTGGATCAACAAGAACAGAAAGTATCTAATCAGCAAAAGAGGCCAGAATTTAAGCCACTTAGATGTATCTATAACAGACAGTGTTAAAAAAGCGTGCTCAGAAGGACCTTCTTGCTGCTCATGCTGTTGAGCAGGCTGAGAAGGTGGCCCTTAAAGATGAGCGTGATTTCCTTAACACGGTTTGCAATGAGATTATTCATCTGCATGGTCTGAAACTCCATATCTACCATAGAAATTTTGATGATTTTGAAACTGGGAGTGGAACTCCACATCTGCAAGGAGGTGAACAAAAGGTTTGAAATTTATGACAACCAGATGAAAGGTGCCAAAAGGAGTGGAAATTGGGTTCAACAGGAGAAGTCTATTGCAGCTAAGGAAGCATCAAAGAACAAGGCTACGGGAAAGGTTGATGAAGATGAGACACTAGCTGAGGCTCCTAAGAAGTGGAGAGATTACGGTCTGGAGTTCCACTTTCCTGAACCTACAGAACTTACTCCCCCATTTTTGCAACTTGTTGAAGTAAGCTTCAGTTATCCACAACGGGAGGATTTCAAGCTGTCAGGTGTTGATATTGGTATTGATATGGGGACTCGTGTTGCCATTGTTGGACCTAACGGAGCGGGAATGTCTACTCGGCTGAACCTTCTTGCAGGTGATTTGGTTCCTTCGGAGGATGAAGTACGGAGGAATCAGAAGTTGAGGATCGGTAGGTATTCACAGCACTTTGTGGACCTCCTGACAATGGATGAGACCCCATTCAGTACCTTCTCCGTCTTCATCCAGACCAAGAAGGGCTTAGCAGGCAAGAAGCTGTCCGCGCAAAGCTTGGAAAATATGGACTCCCTAGCCACAACCATGTCACTCCCGTTGCAAAATTATCAGGGGGGGGCAGAAAGCCGTGTGTTGTCTTCACATCAGTATCCATGTCAAGGCCCCACATTTTGAGCCAAATATCCAAATATTCAATATCGTAATTACATATATGATAAGGAAGGTCCAAATATATCTATTTTATTTAATACAACTAAAGAGAACATATAATAACTAAATTATGTGATGTTCTCACACAATGGCAGGATTTGAAGAACATTAATCAAGAACATGCATAATCAGTTATGGAAGTGATGGTATCTGATAAGAACGAAATTGGCATGTCATGGTATCTTGTAGATGTGCACCGCTACATATCATGTAGTCTTGTCCATAGCTTCTTTGCTTCTGATGATATTCTTCTCAAAGATTATGAAAAATAAAGAATAAAAATAATTATCTATGATTAAAATAAAACTGCATGTAATGGATATTATGCAAGTGCTACTGGACAAATATTAATGATTAAGTACTACTTTAAAAAATGATACCACCCTTAGAAGCATTTTAACGAGCCATATATAAATAAGCATTATAACAAGCTATATATAGAAGCATTTCAAAAAATCCAATTTTTTAAATTATTTTTTATTAAATAGTTCACTAGAGTTTAGATTTAAGTGTTTATTATGATTAGAGATTATTTTGTATTATAGTCCATGATGAGCATATATTGTAAAGTTGAGTACTATCATAAGAATGAGCCCAATTAAAAGCCTAATTCCTATAAGCATATAAGTAAATTAGTGTAATTTTTATTGAGTTACATTTGTGTTATCAGTGTACGTAGTGTAATGTTTAAGAACATAGAGCTTAGGAATTAGGGGTTTATGGCTTCTCTGTGCCAATTAGAGACAAAATTATGGTATAGAAATTATTCTCTAATGCTTAAACAATAGTAAATCCTGAAAAGAAGGTTATAAAATAAAAAGTGGAGATGAACTAATAAAATAAGAAAGATAAGGCAAAGAAAAATAAAAAGCAATGCCAATTTATGAAAATATATTAAGCTATATATATATATATATATATATATCTTCTAGTGATTTTATAGTGAACAAAAAGTGTTTGGTTGAATTGAAAACAAACCTTCTTTTCTCTCCACATGGACGCTTCATAGACACATGCTGGCTGCTTATACATATAGAGACTCAGGAGCAAATGCTTCTAATTTTGGACACTGTCGAACATAGACTGTCTCCAAGGCTGGCCACTTCAAAGTATAAGCTTGAGAGCAAAAAGATTCAAGTTCGGGTAAAGAAAAAAGTTGAATATAATTCACGTGAAGAAATGTCAATTCATCCTCAATACTTTCTCCTCCTCCTTCTGCCTCTCCAACAATTTTCTCCATCGCCCTACATTGGATAACATTTATTTTCTCCAGGCAGGTGAGAAGTTTTGCTATGTGGGGTAAAAACAGGTATCTCAAATTGTTACAGTACCATACGTTTAGTATCTAAGGTTTCCAAAGCCTGAGCTAACTTGTAAACCCTTTTCCCATATGTGGCTCAGCATTGGTAAATACACCAACTTCAATTGCCTCAGCTTATCAAATGCTTGAGTAGAAGGGGTTTCCTGAACCAAAAATATCACTTCCAATAAATCGCAACTATTTACATAGAGATGTTCTAGATTGTCGCTAGCAGTTGAGGTCTGGAGATTTGCCGGTGTAACCTGGCAAAATGGTAGAAAAATAATTGTATAATTTGTTTGTGTTTCAATCATAAACATATTAAAATAATAAGACTGTTTGTGAAAATAATGGTTATCATTTCCCAGATGAAAATTAACAAGTATTTACAATTGTCATGGGACGTGCTTGGGCCAAGCCTTTTATTTTTTTTTTTCTTTTTTTTTTTTTTTTTTTTTTTTTTTTCAATGACATTTGTACATAAGACCAATTTTCACAAAATAGACACGGGGTGTATTCAATTGAGATTTTAAAAGATTATTTTGGGATAAATAATCTTCCAAGGATTGAATAAAACCAAGAGTGAGCAAATGGGTAGGGAAACTCTCATTCCAAGCTCGAGGAGCTTGTTTCAATCCATAAAGAGACTTCAATAAGCAACACACATGATGTGTTTTAGCGGAATCTTTAAAGCTTTGGGGCTGTTGCATATATACTTCCTCATGAAGTACACCATGAAGAAAAGCATTTAACAGACCAATGATACTGTGCAACTAAAGCAAGAATCAATTTAACTGTAGAATGCTTGATAATAGGACTGAATGTTTCTACATAATCAAGTCCGCCCTCTTGATGAAACCCTTTTACAACCAACCAAGCTTTGTGCCGAGAAATGGAACCATAAGCATTTGTCTTAAGTTTGAACACCTATTTACAATTAACAACATTCATGGAAGGTTGATAAGGAACAAGATTCCAAGTATGATGTTTTTCAAGAGCTTGAAACTCATCTACCATAGCTTGAGTCCATTCTAGAACCTTTGCAATCTATGAATAAGTTTGTGGTTCATGTAAAGGAGAATGACCAGTTGTTGTTTAGGCAGCCAAGAAACCATGTCGAGATTTGATAATTCCAGACTTGGAACGAGTCTGCATAGGATGTGAATTAACTAGTGGAGCAGGAAGATCCACAATCAGATCCGGTGAAGAGGATTGGGAAGAAGATGCTTATGACTGATCTAGAGCATGCTCAGTAGAAGAAGATGATGAGGCATACTAAGAGGAAGGCTCTGCTTGTACCTGATTCTGTATAAGTTATGGTGTCTGATCCTGTACACACTCAGTAGAGGAAGTAATAACATCAACAGAAGATGAGACTTCCCTTGCACTAGGTACTGGACTTGCTAATGAATTATTAGAAGAAGTAGTCTCTGGTAAACCATTAAGTCTATGAGTAACACACAAAGATGTGAGGTCTATGAGAAAGGGAAGGTCTTAGTGGTATTAAATCTGGTGGTTTGGTATTGGTTGGTGAAAGAGAAGTGTTCTTATAAGGAAAATAATTCTCATCAAAGATAACATGCCAAGATAAGTAAATGCAATCAGTTTTAGGGTCCAGACAAAGATAGCCTTTATAATCCAAAGTATACCCCAAAAATACACATTGTTCATACCTAGGTTGCACCTTAGATTGAGTATAAGGTCGTAATAGAGGATAACATGCACATCCAAACACCTTCAAAAGGTAATATTTGGTTCTTTGTGAAACAGTTTAGAGAATGGAGATTGCATATTTAAGAGCTTACATGGAATCTTATTAATGAGATAATTGGCTGTGGATAATGCATGAAATAGGTATTAAGATGGAAGAGCAGCTGTAGTGAGAAGTGTAACAGCAGTTTCCACTAGGTGTCTATGTTTCCTTTAACCCCTTCCATTTTGCTTAGGGGTGTGAGGACAAGACTTATGATGCAAAATCCCTTTTGAACTAAGATAGGTCTGAAATTCTTTGCTAACATATTCACCCCCGCCATCAATTTGGAAAGTCTTAATAGAAGTAGCAATCTGATTCTCAACATAGGCAAGAAAATGAACAAAAGTAGAGAAGCAATCTGATTTCTTTGTTAAGGGAAGCAACCAACAAAATTTGGTACACTCGTTAAGGAAAATTACATAGTGCTTATGACCATGTAGAGAGGAATAGGGAGTAGGACCCCAGACATCCGAGTGTATCACTTTAAAAGTTTAAAAGGTATTTGAGACACGACATATGAAGAAGGAAATTGTTGTTTACACATCTTGCCTTGTATAGAGAAGCTACACACATGTGGAAAACTAGGAGAAATGGGAATATGAGTTTTGGCTAACATAGAACTAGTGATATCATGAGATGGATGGCCTAATCTATAGTGCCACAAAGTATGACAAACTTTTCTACCATGAAAAGCAGCCAAGCTAGGTAAAATGGGAGGTGTCCTTGTTGGAAGTGGATAAAGACCATTACTGCACTTTCCTTGATACAGAATTCTCCCCTTTAGATCCTGAATTTGGAACCACAATGCATTATATAAAATCTGGCAGTGGTTATCAAGGCAAAATCGATGAACTGACAGTAGATTAGTGGCAAGATTGGGAACATGCAAAACCTCTGGTAGATTAAAGACTTGGTGACCAGAGACAAGATAAGAGCTACCAACATTAGCAATACTTAGTCCAGTACCATTACCTATAGTGACATTGTTGGTGGAGGTGGAAAGAGCAATGTTGGAGAGATGCCCAAGATCTGAGGTCATATGGTGTGCAGCACCAATGTCTGTTAAGCATATGTTTGGATCTGAGAATTGACCACTAGCAGTTGTAGTAAGTGCGGTGAGTGATGGAGAAGGAGGGGCGCCTTGATATGAGAAATTAGTTCGTTGTGGGCAATTAGGAGATGTGTGACCAAACTGGAGGCAGATTTGACATGTTTCATTAATTAGAGAAGGTGCGGCAATTGAAAACTAGTGGAGCCATAGGTGAAGATGACAAAACACCAAGGCTTGAGTTTGGAGTAACAAAATATTAAGGAGAAGGACCTGAATTACCCCCATGATGCCATGGACCACCATTATTATTTCCCCCTAATAAGGGCTCACAGAGTAGACCAAATCAAAAGTGGCAGGGACAAGACAAAAAGGGACCAAATTGGTCTCAAAATAACAATGGCTCAAGCTGGAATAACAATGCTGGAGGAAATTGGAACAATAGTTTCAATTCTCAGAACAAGCAAGGTAGCAGCAGTCAAGGAAGTGTGAAACCACAATGCCAAGTCTGTCAAAAGTATCATTTTGGTGTGTGCAGGCACAAAGGCAAACCTAGATGTGGAAAATGTAATAGGTTTGGTCATACTGCAAAAGACTGTGAAGGCAACAAGCAGGTGGCTAACTGTGCAAAGGAGGAAGAGGTAATCACAGGCACCATGTTCTATGCTTGCCACTCTGCAAGTGTGAAAAATGGAAGTGTATGGTTTGTGGACAGCGCTGCAGCAACCACATGACTTCTCAAGAGTCTGTGTTAATAAACATTGACAGGACTGTGACTTGCAAAGTTAAAATGGGCACTGGAGATCTTGTACAAGCAACTGGAAAAGGCACTCTAGTAGTTGAAACTCAACATGGGAGAAGGTATATACATGAAGTGTTGCTTGTTCCGGGCTTGGATGAGAATCTATTGAGTGTAGGCCAAATGATGGAGCATGGTTACTATGTCCTATTTGGGGGTAACATGGCAGTTATTTTTGATGATGGCAGCCTCAACAATGTTGTAGCTAAAGTGGTCATGGGAGGAAATAGATGCTTCCCTCTCTCACTAGAATCTATGACACCTGCAGCTAGAAAAGCATCAGTGACTGAAGATTCTTGGATCTGGCATAGAAGACTTGGACATTTGAATTTTGTTAGCATGAAAAAAATGCAGCAGATGGAAATGGTGGCTGGACTACCTGTGTTAACCGAAATGAAGGATGTGTGTGAAGGTTGTGTTTCAAGAAAACATCACAGAGAGAAGTTTGACAAAGAGGGAGCATGGAGAGCAAGCTGTCCACTGGAATTAGTGCACACAGACTTGTGTGGGCCAATGCAAAATGAGTCAATTGGTGGAAATAGGTACTTCATCATATTCATTGATGATTTTTCAAGAATGTGCTGGGTATACTTTCTCATAAACAAATCTGATACCTTTAATGTGTTCAAGAAATTCAAAGCCTTTGTTGAATTGCAAAGTGGATTTAGTTTGAAAAAACTAAGGAGTGATAGAGGTGGTGAATATACCTCACATGAGTTTCAAGAATTCTGTGCAAGCATGGGAATGGAGAGGCAATTAACCATTGCCTACTCTCCTCAGCAAAATGGAGTTGCTGAGAGAAGAAATAGAACAATATGTGAGATGGCAAGATCCATGATGACAGAGAAAGGAATCCCTGTGATTTTTTGGGCAGAAGCTGTAAGTACAGCTGTGTATCTCCAAAACAGATGTTTTACAACATCTGTGCTAAGCAAAACACCATTTGAAGCATTCACAGGAAGAAAGCCAGGAATCAAGCATCTGAAAGTGTTTGGTTGTATCTGTTATACTCATGTTCCATCACCCTTGAGGCAGAAGTTTGATGACAAGGCTAGAAAGGGAGTTTTTATGGGATATGGAAGCTGTGAAAAGGGTTACAGAGTGTATGACCTGCAATCTAAGAAAATTGTGCTCTCAAGGAGTGTAATTTTCAATGAGGACAAGGCATGGAATTGGAAGAGTGATCAAGAGGAATATGTTCCAATACCATTCAACCTTGGAGGAAATGAAACAGAAACTGAATTTGGTGAAGAACAAACTGAAACAACTCAGTTTGATAATGGTGGCAGCTCTCACTCAAACACAACTGTTGGTGTTTCAGTAGGAAATAACAGTCAAGCTTCTACACCTAGCTCTACTCCAGTGAAGTTGAGAACTTTGGAAGACATATATGCAAGATGCCACATGTGTATCATTGAACCAGAGAACTATCAAGAAGCAGCTGGTGATTTAGCTTGGCAAGAAGCTATGAATGCTGAGTTGGAAATGATAGAGAAGAATAATACCTGGGAATTGGTTGAGAGACCAGCAGATAAACTGTTATAGGTGTGAAGTGGGTGTTTAAAACCAAGCTTAATTTGGATGGAACAGTTCAAAAACATAAGGCCAGACTTGTAGCAAAAGGGTATGCACAGAAACCTGGAATTGACTACAATGAAACCTTTGCACCAGTTGCAAGGTTAGACACAATTCGAACTCTCATTGCTCTTGCAGCACAAAAAGGATGGAAGTTGTTTCAGTTAGATGTCAAGTCAGCATTCCTAAATGGTGTGCTTGATGAGGAAGTATATGTAGAGCAGCCTGAGGGTTTTGAACTGAAAAATGCAAGTCACAAGGTTTACAAGCTGAAAAAAGCCTTGTATGGACTTAAGCAGGCTCCTAGAGCCTGGTACAGTGAGATTGATGCATATTTATCTATGTGCAAGTTCAAAAGAAGCATTAGTGAAGCTACTCTGTACACTAGATCTGATAATGAAGGAGGTTTAATCATTGTCTCAATCTATGTTGATGACATTGTTTATACTGGAAACAGTGAGAGGATGCTTGCTGAGTTTAAAAGGGAGATGATGCAGAGATATGAAATGTCAGACCTTGGACTCCTTCATCACTTCTTGGGCATGGGAATACTACAAACTGATCAAGGGGTTTTCATTCATCAAAGCAAGTATGCCAAATCCTTGCTTGTGAAGTTTGGGCTTGAAGATTGCAAACCAGTATCCATTCCATTGCCTACTGGTGAGAGACTCAAGAAAGTGGATGGAAGTGACTTAGCTGATGAAGGACTCTACAGAAAGATAGTAGGAAGTCTACTATACTTAACAGCAACTAGACCAGATTTGATGTATGCTGCCAGTTTGCTGTCAAGGTTTATGACTAGTCCTACAAAGAAGCATATGGGAGTTGCAAGAAGGGTCCTAAGATATGTGCAAGGAACTCTCAACTATGGCATTGAGTATGTGAAGGATAAGTCTGCAATTCTCATTGGATTCTGTGATGCAGATTGGGCAGGCAGTGAGGATGATAGCAGGAGCACTTCTGGCTATGCATTCAGCTTTGGAAGTGGAGCATTCTCTTGGGCCTCTGTGAAACAAAATACAGTGGCACTATCAACAGCTGAAGCTGAGTATGTCTCAGCAGCTGAGGCAACAGCACAGGCTATTTGGTTAAGGTTTGTCCTTGATGATTTTGGTGAAATGCAAACTGAGGCAACACCTATTTTCTGTGACAATATGTCAGCAATTTCTATGGCCAAGAATCCAGTTTTTCATCAAAGGACTAGACACATAAACAGGAGGTATCATTTCATAAGGGAGGCTCTACAAGAAGAAGTGATTGACATGAAATTCTGCAGAAGTGAAGAACAACTTGCAGATATTTTTACAAAGGCACTGCCTAAAGACAGATTTAATCAACTAAGGTTGAAACTTGGAGTTAAGCCAGTAAGCAGCTTAGGAGAGGCTGTTGAGAATTAAGCTACTCACTGAGCTTAATAAGAAACTGCAGATGACAATCCTGCAGATTGTTCCTGAGAAGAATGAAGAATTGAAGAACTTTCCCTTTTGGGAAGTAGCCGTTAGCTACTCTAGCTATTTTGGGATAATTTCTACAGCTGGTTCTTTTGTCTGTTTCTTAGCTGTACTGTGTTAACAGACTCTAGCCTAGGTGTAAGAATCGTAGCCTCCAATCATTATGAATGGTAGGAGATGAGTCCTTGTATCCTAAAATTTAGGATCCTGATTTTGGCACCTTATGTCATGTATATGAGCAGGTTTTTGCTCAGACCTGAATATAGAAAAGAAATACAGAACATTTTCTCACTCTCTCTGGTTTTTTTCTTCTCTCTTCTGCATAAACGTTTTTCTATATACCAAAAACCAACAGTAATTAGTGTCATCCAATTTCAAAGTAATATAATTGGAAGCATTATGAAGCAAATCAATCGGTGTAACAGAGCTTTTCCCCATTTTCAACAAAGGCTAGGGTTTAATCACACAATCAAAAATTTAGAAATTCATATTGATTTCAGAGAGAAAAGAAGCAAGAGATTCGATCACAAGAACAATTCGAATAGTGACCACAAGATACTAAGAGGCAGAGAGAAAGTACGAAGTTACTAAGAGATTGAGAAGAAAGAAGAACCTCACAATTACATTAGAGAGAAAAATGAACATCGAAGAAGTGAGCAGCGGAAGAAAGAAATCGACCACGATATGCAGAGGCAATGCTCTGATACCATGAAAGCTTTCTTCGTGGAAGCCATTGATGAGCTCAATCAAGGTTTGAGAGATAGAAGTAGGGGTGGGTATCTCATCCGAAATATCCGCTTACCAACTATATCGTACCAACAGTTTGGTTTGGTTTGGTTTTGTTAAATAATTATTTTTTAATTTTAATTATTCTGATCCGATCTGTACCAAGATGTTTGGTTTGGTTAACGAAAACAATATTCCTAACTCGACGAAAACCCGTACCGATCTGAAAATTATACATACTCTATTATTTAAATACAAAACAAGAATTCAAAGATAAATACAATCAGCATTTTGTATCACCCATTTATCTCTATTGTATCACTTCTTTATTAGCATTGTATCACTGCTTTATCACCATTCTATCACTTCTTTATCACCCGGGTACTGTAGCACTTTTTGGTCAGAGAGGAATTTATGAATTTCCTATGTTTTCTAGTTTCGACTTTTGTCCCTTTTTTACCTGTAACTTTACAACCGTTTATCCAAATTTTATATTCTTTATATGGTTGGATTCAGCATGAAAAACTAAAGGACCTAACATGGAACAAATGTCAAAATTATTTATATAAATGTAGAGAATTCAGTAAAAATAACACTCAAATGTTCAAACAACAAACAGAAGTGGCTCCCAGTAGATCTTCAATATATATTGAATGATATAGTGACTAAGTTATTTGATTACATACTTGGACGAATTAGACTACTGGATTTTTGTATTTTACAAGGATAATTTGGTGTATTTGTTCAAGAAACTTATGTTATGTGAAAGTATTATAAACTGTATTTTTATTAGTATGTTTTTATTACGGTACTACCGGCGTACCAAACCAATCGGAACCAAATATTAGGTTAACCGATCCGAAGTCTTTGGTTTGGTTAACAGAAGAGCATTTTACCGTTCCAAACCGATCCATGCCCAGGCCTATATAGAAGTATCGAGAGAGAAAGAAACAAAAAGAGAGAGAGAGAGAGAGAGAGAGAGAGGAGAGGAGAGAGGAGAGAGATTAGTTTCTCTCATTAGATGAATCACTAAACTTACAATTCAAGACTTATATGTATAACAGAAACTAACAGCCAGCTCATCCCTAACTAACTAGCAATAGAGTGACGGAGGGAGGAGAAATAGAGATGAAGGAAAAGAGGAGGAGGAACTGGAAGAAGAGCTTGGAACTAGAAATCTGAAATTTCATTCGTCTTCCTTATGGATCTGGACCTCCAAGCGATAGAGTTTCTGCTAAAATGGGAGACCTAGCATTTTCCCCTTTTTTCGAGAAGAAGAGAATGGGTTATTCATGTTCTTATTTGTTGTTGTTTTTCAATTTTTTTTTCTTTTTCATTAATAAACTTTTTAACCCCCAATAACAGGTTTCTCTATTATTCCTATCAATGGTATAGATTAACTCATCTCAATCTATATTCTTTGGTGTATGGTACACCAAAGGACTCTAGAATTTTCCTTATTTTTTATTTTATTATAAAGGTAACATTGGAAGTCAATTTACATCTATACAAATAGCTTCAATTTTTCTTTTTGAAAAAGACATGGAAAACTTTGAATGGAAGTATGATGGTGAAGATAATTTATAGCTAAATCCATTTGATACTTCAAAATCTTATAAATCCTATGATTTGAATCTTTTAAAATTCATAAGTAAAAAATCTTAATTATATAATCCATAAATAAAATCCTATAAGTAATTACATTCTGCTTAAATCCACCATACTTTTTTAATCCCTAAATAGTCTTTTAAAATCTCAATTGAATATTAAATCGAAAACCAAACGCATTCAGTGAATAATATTGAGATGCATAGTAAAGAAAAATGACGTACCTCTCTATTTATAGGGCCGGGCAATATTTGAGTAAAGTTGTGAGTAGATGGACTACTTTGTAAGCAGACTAGTGGCGCACATCCAAATCCAGATCCAGATCCAGTTGATGATTCTTCTCTACCTCTTGCATGATTATCACTCAAATTCTCTGCAACTGCAGGCAGATTTTTGCTTAGTGGTGCAAAACCTAATGTCTTTAATTCGGGACAAAGATACACGTCCATAGTTCTTGTGGAGGAAGGCCATGCGAAAGAATAGGCATCAGGGCAAAATCTTTCAAGTCTTGTCAAAAACGATAGTTGGAAGCTATTGAGTAGTTTGGGAAACAATGTCATCGCACCACTTCCACCTGTCTCTTTCCCTTCTTCATGGATATTGTCCTCCGTGGCAGCAACTGCTAGTACTATAGTCTCCATATTCTCACAACTATATATATGGACTTGTTGGAGATTCACAAGGAGCTTGTAAATTTCATAGGGGCATAGATATTTCAGCCTACGACAATCTCCAATTGTTAAAGATCTTACATTTTGAAAACCTTGGAATCCAGGTTGAGCGTTCTTCCACAAATGCTCAACCTCATATAAACCCACCACATTCAATGTTTGTAATTGAGAAAATGCTGAGACATGCCCTTCTAAATCAAATACCACATTGAGAAAATGTTCATTTTTTTCTTTTGACCATTGCCCAGTTCTCAAATACTCCACTACCAGTTCCTCTAGATTTGGTAACCATGAAATGCAATTTGAAGGAAATAGTGCATTACAACTTACTCCCACTTGTGCTACTTTTGATTTAGATGAGGATCCAGCAACTTGATCATGTTGTTGGTCATTCCTAGTCTCTTTCATCTTGTCCAGATGAGAAGCCTTCACACTTTCATCATTGGGCTTTATGACCTGTACATTAATTAATTCTACATAAGTAATGAACTTACACATGAGTAAAAAAGAAAGAAAACAACATAAATTTAGGCTGGTGCTATTTCCACAATTTGTCTGATTTCCAAATTGCCTTAATTATATTCCCACATCCTCTGTCATAATTTTTGAGAAATAATAATAATCCCCTTCCTCACCTATTTATCAATAAACAATTTTCCCACCAACCAAGATTATCATCCCACCTTTTTCTTCTTCTATATTATATTCTTATACACCCTAATCTTTTTTCTCACACGTCTTTTCTCATATTTAGATCATGCAAGCTCCTACTTTGTTTCCTTTGCTATATATTTTAACTCTAAAGACAGCTCAATATTCTTAATTTTCAAATGAAAATCATAGGTGTGAAGATTTAGAAATATATATATATATATATATACTTAATCTCCTATTAAGGGACACTCTAAACACACTACAAATTGTTTTTCAACAATCCAAACAGTTTATTTCTCATTTGTATATTTATAGATCATACTCACAAAAAATTAGACAATTCGAAAATCGTTTCAATATGTAATTATGTTCTACAAAAGTAATGAACACGATACTTTAAGAAAGTACTAAAATCACAATAATTTAATTGAGTGCTCAGATGATATCCGATTCAAGTGATTTTTTCAGAGATAATTTTTGTTAGTGAAATACAATGTAAGGCTCACCACGCGCTATATTTCAATAATCTGAGCCATCTAGGTTTTAGATATTCCCTCAAAGATCATCTCTGTATTTTAAAAAAAAAATCACTTAAATATGAAACCATTTGACCACTCAATTAAATGGTTGTTATTATTGTCTTTTCTTGAAACACCGTGTTCGTCTATTCTACCATGAAACTATATTTGTTGCATATTCAGAAAAACATAACTATTATTCTAACTTATGTATGTAGAAATAATAATGCAAAAACCAATATTCATCATAAATTAGTTGCAAAAATTTGAAACGCATCTAAAATCTCCAATAGACCAAACATGATTAAGTTCAACCCAAATCAACTTCGAGAACTGGAACGACAATATCAAGTATATACCATTCAAGCATCAAGTGTATACCTCATAGGTGAAGTCCCGTTGGTTTCCCGTGTAGAAACCACATAGCTTTTGGAGATAAGAAAGCTTCAAAAAAGTTAATCTTGGGAACATGAGAGATGCATTATCATCTTCCATTCTCTCCTTTGATATGATCTCTTCCACTTTATAACACTCATAAACTGTTAAGCTTTGGAATTGTACCAAGTTTTGTGCTATGGATAGTGAAAAGACATATTTTAACTCATCACAATTGTCAATTGCAATGGATCTTAGGTTCATAAAGGAGTACTTGTCTGGCATTTTGCCACGACACACAAATTTTAATTTGTGAACATTCTCGAAGGTAACTGACTTTAAGATGGGGAAGGCTGGTTGACGACGATGAGTCCAATCTGTTCCATTCATAAGATACTCTATGTTGTTGTCATACATGATTGATAACACTTTCAAGTGTTGAAAGCCCTCTTGATCATCTAATTCCTCCATCACATACTTTAAATTGTATGTCTTGTGTAGGCTTAAGTCTTCAGATTGCCTCAAGAGATATCTAACTGCTCCAATCTCCATATATTCCTTTACATCACCACGAAGCATCAAACTATTTTCGAACAGATAACCAGGCATTCGATTCTTGAAACTAATATTGATAGATACATGAAATCTTATAGGCTGGCTTTTTAAAAGAAACTCTTCATTCTGCAACATCTGAACATTAGGGATTTTTATGGCTAAGACTTTTAAATGATCAGATAGAGACATCACCTCATCAAGGCTTGCCATGCTCGTTTCATCCTTGCTTCCTACTGTTGGCCCCCAATTGAGAAAGCTTTCTGCCATGTACAACTCTTCTAATCTCCTTAAGTTGGATAAGACACCATGAGGAATTTCTTCAAGTCCTTTACACTCTGTTGCATCCAGCATCCTTAACCGATGAAGAAGTCCTATTTCTCTAGGCAACTTATCAATTTGAGAGCGAGCAAAGCTGAGGATCTCCAAATTCTCCAATCCTCCAATAACATGAGACATGTCTCCCAATTTGCAATCCTCTAGACACAAGGTATGAAGGTACTTGGATTCTCCATGTGCTAGAGTTCTTGTCGAGGCCAAATAACTTGACATATCCATCCCCAAGAAAGCTAAAACCTTGAGTTCTTTCAACCTTTTAAAGTGGTTGGAATATTCTGAATTTGAGGAATTTTTCAGTTGTAGAAGCTCAAGTTTTGGGTAATCCAAACAATCAGTAATATCTTCATCTAATTTAGCATCAATTAACGAAATGGCACTGCAATGTTCTCGGTTTGTAGCTTTTTGTACTCCTGGCCATCCTCCACCTCCACCTTTCGCATCAAATGATCTTACCATAAATCTATGAGGATCTTTTGAGGCAATTGATATGGCAACATCACGAACTACGTCATGCATTTTGATACATTCTTCCTTTTCACTATCAAGCAACAAAAATCTTCTTTTTAAATTTTCAACTAAAGAATGCACTTTGTTTCTTACATCTTCGATTGTGTTGGTGTTTCTAAAAGTTGCTCGACCCAACCCATACCTCACCAAATACTCAATCGGAACATCATAATCTTCTGGAAATAAGCAACAAAGTAAAAAGCACGACTTGACTTCACCACTATTCAATTTATCATAACTTAGTTTTATGCAAGAATAAACACTGTGTTCCATCCCAATGATGTTTTCCGGGAGAGAATTTTTCAGTTCTTGCAAGGCAGTAATCCATTCATGCTTGCCTTTACTTGGTAGAAGAGCTTTCCCAACAGTTATGATAGCAATGGGTAAACCTTTGCATTCATCTGCAATCAATTTTGCAATATGAAGCAAATCATGATTATTGTCCAAGGATTCACCTACAGTCGCTCTGAAAAGCTCCCATGCTTCTTTTTCATTTAAGGCTTGGACTCTAAATATGTTGTCTGTACACCCCATTACTTTACAAACTCCTTCATCTCGAGATGTTAACAAAATTTTACACCCTTCATGAACTTGATTAGTATAATTAGGTCCACCAGCAAGAGGAATCCCGATAGCTTCAAAATTAAGCTCTGACCATACATCATCTAATATAATCAAGATTCTTTTACTCTCCTTGATTCTCATATGTAGCTTTTCTGCTCTTCTTGATTCAATTTCCTCGACGAATTTCATATCTAATGACTCTGCAATTTCAGTTTGAATTGTCTTAATGTTTACAGTTGCGGTTACAGTTGTCATCACAACATCATCAAATAGCTGATTTGTTCCTTTTAATCTGTTGACGATATCTCTCACCATTGTGGTTTTACCCACTCCTCCCATCCCGCATATCCCAATTATTCTTGACTTTTCATTCCTCAAAGCTATAAGCACATCATTCATGACTGCTTTTCTAGATTCAAAACCCTTAAAACCATCACTAGAGATTATTGACTCTATATGTTGCAGAGGTGAAGGATTGGCAACATTATTACTCAGTTCTTGGTCAAGTTTGAGATCAAGTACACACTGAGCAATCTTCTTAGCTTTCCTACTTAGAGAATACCGCGATTTCAAACTTGGGCACAATCCATACAAACACCGCCTTTGAATATTGACTTTGTCTTCCAGTTCTTTCACTTCACGAAATATTTTACTTACATCCTCTAGCCAACTCTGAACTTGATCTTTGATGGTTGCACCATTCCTTTTTGCAGCATCCACAGATCTTTGCACATCATTTTTCTTGTCATCAAGCTTTTTAAGCACATCTGCTAGACTTTTTATGTTGGAATCGCAGTAAATTAGATAGCTAGTTGTCTCCCAATTAGGGCCACTGGTTCTTCTACAATTTTAGATGCAATTGAAGTACCAATCTCTTCCATTTTATGTTGCCTTTTTATATAAAGCCGCCAGAGACTATTGCAAATGAAACTATTGCAAGCAAGTCCACACCTACAAATTTTATCATGAAAATGTAAGGTAAACCAATAAAAACCCCACCAATCAAGTCTCATAACATTTTCAATAAAAAAAAGTCTCATAACATTTAAAAAATGTATTGTCATAGTTACAAGAACAAACAGTACACTACACACATAAAATTTTGGGTCGAATTCCAACTCATTATTAATAGATACTAGTCATTGATTTTATTGTTATCATTTTAGCTCAATTTTAAAATGTACAACCACTATGGCTCTAAATCGAATCGATACAGTTCGAGTTGACTCATATTCAGCTAGTTTTTTGCTCGTTCAAGCTCGGTTGGTAAAAGAAATGAGCTTAGTTGGAATAAAAGATAAGGCTTATTAAGGTGACTGAGATTGAGCTTTGGTGTACCCAACTCACAAAGGTGGTTAGAAACTCACATCTTTTATGAGATCTTGTTTTGTTAAAGTTTGGTCTTAAACGTTCGGCTTTACAATCTTACAATTAATTGGAAACATGTCATGTATTTTACAATGTTCGAATTCATTGATTTTTCCTTCCTCATACCCCTGAGTTGTGGTCTAGTGGTTGGGGAATCGCCTGTTTGGGGTTCGAAACTCACTGAGGTACCAAAGATTGTAGGGTTAGGCGAGTGGGCCCCAATTTAGGAGTTGAGTCAGCAAAGCTGAAAATGGAGTTATGGTTGTAGAAAAAAAAAAAAAAAAAAAAAAAAAAAAATTTTCCTCACATAGTGATGACCAATCTTTTAGAAATATTCATTTCTCTTAGGATATGTCCTACTATCATTCTTATTTGGATTTGGATTTGGTTATTTTATTAGTTTTCAATTTTCATTAAGTCGGGCTAAACTTGAGCTTAAGCTCCACTTTAAAAATGAGTTCAGTTGTGTAAATTATAAGTTCTCAATTAATAGATGCTAAGTCAAGCCGAGCTCAAAGGGCCACCAATGATATTGTTCTATATATCGGGTTAAGATCTCAGGGGACACACATTTTGACACACTTTTTCAACCATTAGATGGTGAGTCATCCAAAAGTTAGAAATTAATCTTGAATTATTATTTTTATTTAAAAATAGTATTAATTTATTGCTTTTTGGAAATATAATTCCACACTCAAATCAAAAAGAAGAAAACAAAAGGAAATATAATTCCAGTGTTGGATTTTATCGAACCTGTAAAGGGATATTCTCACTATAGTTATCTTAATTGGTCCCATAAGATATTATCTACTATCACGAGTTAAGAGAATATTACAGACGGAGTTGCTGAAGGAATGGAGCTGCACAGGGAGACGTATTATGAAGTCGTAGAGGAAGAGAAATAGACATGCAATCAAAGTTAAAGAAGAGGGATAATTGAAAAATAAAATAAAGAGGGGAGAGAGAGAGAGAGAGAGAGAGAGAGAGAGAGAGAGAGAGAAAGAGAGTGAGAGAGAGAGAGTCAATAAAGTAATAAATGCAAAGTTAAGTGCATTTTAAATGAATTCTGAACTGCAGTTAGATGAGAACAAATTTAAGGGTTGAAAATGTGTGTAAAAAAAGTGTGGTTTTTTATGTGTACCCCGATCCTGATACTTAATAATTAAATTAAATGGCAAGATCAACATTCATGGAAAACCTATTAATTGTTATATGCTTAAACAATATTCTAATGAATATGAAATCGAGAGAAAGTAAAAAAAGTTGGATTCAAGAGACCTTCCTCTCTCAACCTCATATTTTAAATAGTTCATAGCCATATAATTGTTAATATAAGTATTGATAATCCTAAAAAATTGGTGCATCCTATGTTTAATTAATTAAGAGGATGATTTTCCTCAAGTCATTCATGTAAAGAAGTATACATGTGCTCAATAGACAGTGAGTTTACTTGTAACAATCTCAAAAATAGATTTTTGTTGTTATTAATATTCCGAAAAATCATTTAAGGTTAATGAAGTCTGTGGGAATTTTATAAAGTGGTTTGATGTGAAAATATTGAAATTAAGTGTGTTTAAACTCAATTTGACATTTGGGATAAAAATACCATTTGGGGATTTGGGAGAAGGAATAGGGTTCATACTGACTGAATTGAAGAAGACATGGAAACAAATTCCCTATTCCTTCCCCATTTTCTCCCAAATCTGAAATCCCCAAATCAAATTCCCTATTTTCCTCCCAAAATCCCTACTTATGTGAACCTCTAGATGCTCCCAAATATGAACCTCCACCTCATAGATTCCTAAACCGTAACCTTCTTCTCCCAAATTCCCCCTTTTCTCCCAAATTCCCTATTTTCTCAACCTAACTAACCCTTCCTCTCCCTTGTTAAGAGCTTGAAAATAAGTGGGGGCCACATCAAGTAACAGAACTTCTCTCAAATCTGACGGAATTGCTTACATAAGACGCTTAATGAAAGTGTATGTGGTATATTGAGACATTTCAAAGAACATGTGGTAATCTGGGACTACTTTGAAAACGAGAGGGCATATCCATAATTAAGCCATAATCAATGTCAAAAGGAGCACTATTTGATTTCTCCCTCATAGTAAAAAACAACAAAACAAAACAAAAACAAAAAACAAAAGTCAACTGGCCAGTGCTCAAGCGTGTGCCAAGAGGTAGTCGGTAATTGAAATTTAAAATGTCTAAGAAAAACAAACCTGGAGTTAGCAACAAATTAGCACTATCCGCAATCCGAATGCTCAGTATTCCACTAAAGCCATACAACAACTACCTACGAAGACTGGAGAAATAAAGCCAGAAATAAAGATCGATGTATATATATTTATGTTGTAAAATGAGAGAAATTGAACAAGCAAAAGAAGAAAAGCAATGGAACCGGAGAAAGTAAACAAACAGTCCCCAAAATAAATAAAGAATATTACAAAAGTTACGAACAAGAGTTTTCCTACTAAGGTGTAAAGGCACTTGTGTTTTGCTCACCCAACCAAAAAAAAAATAGTAAAGAAAATAAAGAAAACTAAAGTGTTAATTAGGCAATCACAAACATTGCAATTTTCGCACACAACAATTATATACTATGTCATACATACACAAAAATACAAGTCCGGGAATGAGTCCTCCTACCTGAAATCCAATGTTGATGCCTCACTTGCATTCTGCATCTTTGAACTCAAATTGTTCTTGCTTGGGCAACTGAATCCTAGTCCAACATTTCAAAAATGTTACTAAAAATCCTATTTGCAATTTAGTTGTTATAACTAGCTTTAATTACTCTTTAGTCCTCACACTTGTCAATAATTTCACTTTTGTCCTTATACTTTCCTTTATTTTCACTCTGGCCCCTGTACTTTTTCGAATACATTTCAGTCTTCAGACTTATCCATAATTTCACTTTGGTCCTTATATTTTCCTTTATTTTCACTTTGGCACTTATACTTATTTTAAATTATCTTTTGGTCCTTCCACTTTCAAAACCAGCTTCGGCCAGCAACTCAGACACAAATTTCCAGAAATCAAAGCATCTTAAAACTTTACCTTAATATTGGTCCGAAATCCTACGTGAAGCTCCCAAAGAGAAATAACCAATTCAAACAACACTTGAAAACTAACAAAAGCTTGTTTCAGGTGTACCACTGCCGAGAAAGCTACACTTGTTGGACTGCCACTATTTTTGGATATATTGTAGAGAAAAGAATTCTGAACAAGCTTCATGAAGGAAGTATTGTCATCTGAGCAAGGGAAAAGTGACATACAAGAGTGAATAAGGTACTGTACAGTGATAACAGCAGAATCCGAGGAAGTGACGAACATGCTTACCACAGACATAACTAGAGTAGTTGGATTGCTCTGATTTTTTGGATATGTCATAGTTCTCAAACTGAGGAACAACCTTAGAGAAGGAAGTTTTGTCAAACGAGCACTGGAGATTAAAGAAAACTGTTGAAAACCGAGCTGCAGAAACTCACCAGCCATGGATGAACACAGAAATGTCATAGCCGGTTCGAGGTAGCTAGACTGATCTGATGATGCTCATTTTGGGTATGTTATAATATTCAAGCAGACGAACAACTTTGATGGAGGAAGTTTTCTGATTGAGCTTTCGAAATCGGACTTCTAGAGTAATGAATAGCATCCACGAGTTTGGGTTTTCTAAAGAAGAAGAAGATGATGAACGGGCATGGTGATTGGTAAATGAGAGAAAAGGAGCAGAAGCAGAGTAAAAAGAAAGCGTGTGGACAGAACAGTACCCTGTCCCCTTCCTTTTTTTTTGCTTTTAAATTCTTCTTCTTCCTTTCTTATTTTTTAAATTTTTTTCAAAAAAAATACCTTTTATTTATTGGCTTAATTGATACATACCCTCTAAAATATTGGTCAAATTCCACATTTCCCTATAAAAGTTAAAGTAACACACTTTTTCCCTTCACCAAAATTTGGTGTATCACTTTCTCTCCTTACCATCAACTCATCACAAACTCCGTTAAAAATGATGACATGGCCGAGTTATATTGGTAATTTTGTCCTAATCAGCCAATTTCCTTAAAATAAAAAAAATTAATAAACAAATTAATAAAAATCCAGCAGTAGATTATCAAGGCAGAAAACCCAGACATCAAACAAAAAATTTAAAGAAACGAATTATCCAACATCTTTTCTTTCTACTTCAATTAATCAAACCCAGAAAAACCAAAAAACTATATTAAACCAAACAAACCCAACAACCTCTTACTATTCTTCTTCTTCAATCACATTTCCTGAAAAACTTAAATTAGCAGAGATAATAAGCAAAACCAGCCGTGAAACTGAGATGGGATCCATAGAAACCAAAGAGACCCTCCGAGTCGAGGTCCCTAATCTCGTTTCTCTCCACTAGCCCAATCAATCATCCTAAAAAAATCCGTAAATTAGAACTCAAAAAGCCAATCCCCAGCTACCCATCCCCATCCCTCTGTCTATGTCTCTCTCTGCCCCTAAATCTACCATCTGCACCCAAGATTCAAGCCCTCTCTTGCTGCTTCCACCGCCAACCTTAGCCCAACAAAAACCAACATTAGAGATCAAGGAGCAGCCGATGAAATGACAATTTCTTGAACCTCATGCACCATTTGTGACCAAACCCAATGCTTTCCCCATGAACTATATAGAAAGTTATAAAATTTAATATTGTAGCTTCCAAAAAATATATTTTAAAATTTAATAGGGTAAAGTCATTTTCCCCTATGAGAATTGACCCCCAATACTTTCTTCTTTTCTTTTTTTCTAAAAAACTAAGGATATGAACTATAAGAAAATAGCCAATTTACCTCCTACCATTAAAAATTTCAAACTCCATTCATTTTTCTGTTAAAAATTAGGCCAAATTCTTCAATTTAAAAGGTAAATTAGCAGCATAAGAAATATATAAAAAAACAATGACCTCCAATGCCACCCATTTGCTAATTTTAACTAAAAATATCATCCCTTTCTAATTTTTGTACAACTACAACCTATAAATATAAAATTATTGTCCACTTATTGGACCTATATCAGTTTTTCAGAAATTGCTCTCTCTCTAACTCGCTCTATCTCTTCGACCGTCTCTCTCCCTCGTGTACCTCTCTCTCTTCAACGACAATCATCTTTCTCCCTCAACAGTGGCTGTCTGCGTTCTCTCTTCCTCTCTAAGCGTTTTATCTCTCCACCGTCGCTCCATGACCACCACCACTCTGTTTCTCCCACTCTCGCGAAATCCATCCCTGTGTCAATTTCTCAACAAAAAAACTCAATCTTTATCCCCTATCTAGGGTTATCTAGTCTTACAAGTCCAACCCAGAAAAATAAAAGCTTAGCCACACCCTAAGCCATCCAAGCTTAACTCCATAGTTCACATCCACGAGGTACTGTTCACATTCCTTTTCTTAGAAATTTGGGGTTTTTGTGAATTTAGTTTATAGTGTATAGATTTGTATGAAATTGGTTTAGGGGTTTTCTTCCAAATTGGTTTAGGGTTTTAGGGTTTTAGGGTTTTTGGGTTTAGAGGTTGCTTTGAAATTGGTTAGGATTTGTTTTGTGCCCAGAAGATTGTGACTTGTTGAAAGTTCGTAAATGGAAAAGGCATTGTTCACAGAAATCAAATGCAAAAGATTGTGACTTTGTTGAAAGTTTGTGCCCAGAAGATTTGTGCATTTGTGCTTTCTCTGTTTGAAAGCATGGTTTTATCTATTTTTTTTATTTCCAGGATTGTTATCTAATTTCTTTATACACCATCTGCTGCTCGAAACATCATAATGCAGATGAAGCATCTCAGGGAAACTCTTTACTCAGTTCTTCTTTTCCAAGTTTGTGTTTCATTTAGTAATTGCAACAATTGGGTGTGCCAATTGTCAACAAATTTATTTAAAGCAATGTTGACTTGCTTGATCTCCGATTTTATTCAATTCTGTACTCTATTTTGGTGTAATCTTTGATGTAGGATATATCCTTTTTCGACAGAGAAGCAGTTGGTGATTTGACAAGCAGACTTGGGGCAGATTGTCAACGATTATCTCTTGTTATTGCGAATGATATTAGTTTGATCTTACGCAATGTTCTTCAGGTTGTGGTTCTTACCCTTCCCCTCCCCCAAATGTGCATTTGATTTTTTTAATAGTCTAGTCTAAGTTACAGTTTTTCTATATTCAGGGGATAGGTGCACTGATCAATTTGCTGATATTATCTCGGCCTCTCGCATTATCAACATTGTTTATCTGCTGTGTGTTATCTATGATTTTTCTTCTTTATGGATAGTAAGCTTCTTTACCTTCTTTCTACTTTATATCTGATTTGGATTTTTCGAAGCTTGAGGTTATTTATACCGCAAAGTTCTGCTATAACAATAAATGAAGAAGTGATATATTTGATTATTTTATATTTTATAACAATATATAGGTACCAAAAGAAAGCTGCAAAGTTAGTCCAAGACTTCACTGCTGGTGCCAATGAAGTATAGACAGACTATAGATCCAAAATGCTCCAAAATTTATGTTAATCTTCTTTGGTTGATCACTTTCCTATTTGAATGTAGGCTGCGCAAGAAACATTTTCCTTGATGAGAACTGTCCGGGTTTATGGAACTGAAAGAAAAGAATTTGGAAGGTGTATATTTTACTATTAATTTCCTGTTAGGCATTTTCTTTTACTGCCGTCTTTCTAATAAACATAGCACAAGAAAATCTGAGAATTCTGACACCTAAAGCATGCATCTTATGTGATATTAGGTTCAAGCAATGGCTAGTCAAAGTTGCTTTTGTAAACATTCGAGAGAGTGTGGCTTATGGATTCTGGTGTGTGAGTTTCAGTACTCTTTATCGTTCAACGCAGGTTTGGCTCTTTTTTAGTTAACTATCATAAGGTATTGGGCTTAAGTTGTTGGTTTTCTGAAGTGAGAAAGGAAAATGTCTCAAGTTATTACATTTAAATGAAAATCTATTATTTGACTCCACTTTGTCAAATCACATCTACAGATTATTGCAGTGGTGTTGGGAGGAATTTCAATTATGAGTGGTCATGTATCAGCTGAGCAACTAAGTATGTACTGTATTGTGAGTGGTTAATTTATGCAACTTGGAGGGTCACAGAAAATTCATTTCTCCAAACATATGAAAGCTGCAGTTTTTCTTGAAGTTTACTAAAGATACTATTTTGTTTCGATTAAGCTACTTTTACTTTGAAGTATGGATAATCACAATGATTTAGAGGAAAAGAAAAGAAAAAATAAAAAGAGGAAGGGATATGACAATGAAAAGTGACAGGAAAAGGAAGAAAGTGACTAATCTATAATGTAAAGTTTTTCCTTATATACTTATGTTCTGGTTTTTAAAAGCTTGGCTTTATGGTATAAGTTGCACAATGACCTTGCATCTACACTGGTATGTATAGAAAAGACTAAGTTTATTTATTTATTATCAACAAAACGGACAATTTTACCCGGTATTTAATTTGAAGCTATTTGTTTCCTCCAGGAACAGCGTGCTATACTTGAGAATGAAATGTTGTGCAGACAGGTAAACAACATTCTTCTTGCTAATGAAAATTTGATCAGTTTCTGACATTTACTTCCCTGTGAGTGATTTGTATATTATGTAATGTATCTGTTATGGCCTATACTTATATTGTAGGATGAGGAGCTTCGGTGTTTATTTCCACAAACTGACCATGCAGTCCCATCCTATCTGGAATATTATCCGGTGGAAAAAGAGAAATCCCTTGTAAACCATGGTGTCACAAACCCAGATTTGGTCAGCAATTTTGCATTTGAGAATGGAGATTCTGACATCACCCTGCATTTAGGGTACTATTCTGTCCTTATTAACGAAATCACCTTCAAATAAACTGCAAAACTGTTGTTGCTTATTGTTTCTTGTGCATCCTAGGCTACTTAATAGATTTAGATAATATTTCCGAGTTGCCTAGCCCATTGCTCAGCGGTGGCAGAGCATGGAAAATTTTAGGGAGAGGTAGAAGGAAGCAAAGTAAAGTGTTAAAAGTTTATTACTGGTGAAATAAGTATATAGTACTTATCCATACTGCGAGTAAAATTGATTACTACTAGAAAACTCATCTATGATAAACAGTCATATTGTTTGGCTGATTACAGGGTGGACTAATCTGGCTCCCACAGGAGGGATTTTGTTCCTTCTTTTGCAACTACTGCCTTTTCACAGGACCTTACAGGGCTCCCTAGCTATAGTTTCACTTGATTTTGTAGCTTTTTATTTTGCTATGATCTTATTTAGCTTCTCTAAGAGAGACATAGAGCTGCGATAGACAGATACCAAAGAGAAAGAGAGATGTGCCAAAGAGAGAGCTGAGTGAGCTAAGAGAGAACAAAATTTCTGAACATGTCAAAAATCAGCAATAAGTGGACAATAATTATATTTTTATAGTTGATATTGTAATACTATTGCTATTGTATTGTGGTTATATTGCTCTAATATTGCCTCTATAGTGTACATATATTGGCCTAATATTGCTATTATATCGTATGTCAATGGCCATTTGGTCTAATAACAGAGTCTCCACTTCATTGAAAGTAATCCTGAATTCAAATCTCATGGACACGACAATTGTTATCCATCCTTATATTAGCATGAATTGATGTTGACCTTTGAAATGATAGTTGGAGTTGCACATCGATTCATATTCAAAAGGAATGTAATTCTCTCCCTCAATGAATCTGATAGTATGCGGGTCCTATATTTTCGTTTTCACCATTGGCCATCTATACACGGAATCTGTTAGCCGATCCAAGATGCACACTTGTAGTGCAGGTTAGTGATTTTATATGCATGTTTAGCTTAAATATGTGTATGGTAGACAATAGAGAAGAGTTTAGTGTAAATATTTTTGTAAATAATTATTCTTTGTTTGGTACAGGTCTGGTGGATAAGTTTCTTTTAGTATATCAGCATGGTTGAAGTTTCCAGGTATTTTTTTATTCTTCTATTTTTAATTCTTGACTTTATCTTCAATATTAACTTTCAGCTGCTCTATCTCTCTCTGTCTCTCATGAATTTTTCTTTTTGTTTAATGGTTCTCTCTTTCTTTTTGCTGTAGATAACCTGTTGTTGCTGATATTGCTACACGGGAGGAGAATAGAACAGCTTGGAAAAAGTGCAAGAAGGGAGAGCTAACTCATACAACGAAGAACAAATTGATGAAGTTAAGATCAAATTAGTAGAATTTGTGAGCTCTCCATTATTTATAATTATAGGTAGGAAGTATGTATGTAATAGAGCAAAGATTGGTTGACTATGTAATAACAATTGAATTTTCAAGTTTTATGAAAGAAATAATTTTTACTTCGCAGGATAGTATTGTTAGGGTTCGGTGGCGATTTATTTTCCATGTCTAAATTGTAGTCTGTAATGGATGTGTGTGTATTGTATGTAGATTGACTTAATATTTCTGTCCTATTGCATGTGTATTGTACTAATATTGCCTATGTATTGTATACATATTATATGCATATTGCCACCGTATTGCATGTATATTGTGATGCTATTGCTGTCGTATTGCGATTATATTGCCCTAATATTGATTCTCTAATGTATGTATATTGGCCTAATATTGATATTATATTGTATGTATATTGACTACAGCTCATCAATGGGTTTACGGTTTAAGCCATACTTCATTCAAAAAAAAGAAGAGGAGGAGAAAGAAACAACATGCCTTTCAAAAACAGGCAGTCAGGTGCATCATAATTGCACCATAAGACATTGTAAGAAATTATTTTAAAAAATAATAACAACTAAAAATAATTTACAAAAAAGGAAGGTATGAATAAAGAGATAGAGAGCAAGAGAGCGAGTAGGGGGAGAAAAAGACAGAACGAAGCTAGAGAGAGAGACAGAGAGAGAAAGAGCTGCGCTGTAGAAAGAGAGCAAAGAGAGAGACAGAAAGTTGCACTACAGAGAGACAGAGAGATAGCCAAGAGAGAGACAGAGAGCTGCGATAGACATATACCAAAGATAAAGAGAGATGTGCCAGAGAGATTGAGCTGAGTGAGCTAAGAGAGAACAAAATTTCTGAACATGTCAAAAATCAGCAATAAGTGGACAATAATTATATTTTTATATGTGATATTGTAATACTATTGCTATCGTATTGTGGTTATATTGCTCTAATATTGCCTCTATAGTGTACATATATTGGCATAATATTGCTATTATATTGTATGTCAATGGCCATTTGGTCTAATAACAGTCTCCACTTCGTTGAAAGTAATCTTGAATTCAAATCTCATGGGCACGACAATTGTTATTCATCCTTATATTAGCATGAATTGATGTTGACCTTTGAAATGATAGTTGAAGTTGCACATCGATTCATATTCAAAAGGAAATTAATTCTCTCCCTCAATGAATCTTCGTTCAAAAGAAGGCAGCTATCAAATATTGGGTACAAAAATGCAAGATCCACAGTAAATTAATTTGCCACAAACCACATATTACAAAACCGGGATGATTTTTGGCATGCTTGAAAAGACAAGGGCCAAATACAAAAGAAAAGAAAATCCATTCAAGCTTCTCACTAAACATGGCTCAAGCACTCGACCATGGTTTCAATCTAAACCTACCCAACAAGGGCATACCACGTGTCCATCGTAACAGAAGAGTGGCATTTACAAAGCATGAACTGCAATATGTTTCTTTTTCTCCTAAACAAAATTGTTACTAAAATGGAACAAAAGATCCCTGTAGCTGCAAATGGGCTGGGCCGCCGTAAAAAGGGCAAACTGATGAAATTGTCCCCTTTGCCTGAGTTCGAAAATTAAGCCCCAAAATACTTCGAAATGGCAGTAGAGCCCTAGGGAGTATTTTGGTTACCTTCACCAACCAAAATAATGGCAGCTTACAAATAATTTATGCATGCTTACAGATAAAATTTTAAGCTTGGCATGAGAGCAAAATCAACATGAGTTTAGCACTTAGAGGAAATTTAGGCTTTCTTAGAGGGAAAAAAGGGAAGTGTTAAGGTGAGAAAAGAGAGATTTTGTAAGAGATTTGGCTAGGAAGAGAGAAATGAAGAACAATGCTCTTCTGGCAGCTTGACAGATACTCTGTTTGCTAGAAGAGAAGAATGGAGAATATGGTGAACAGTGCACGAGACTGCTGGGTTTTTGCAAGTTAGAGAGAAAGCTTGCTCTCCAGGTGTGGGTTGTTTTTGTTGGGTAGAAGAGGCCTCATTTTATAGGCGCTGGAAATCATCCTTTCCCAAGAAACCCTAATGGTTTCTACCCATTTTGGCTAAGCTTTTCCCTTCCTTTCTCTTCTCCTCCCCTGGCTTTTCCTATCTTGGTGAAATTTCCTCTGTTTATTAGCACAAAATCAGGAACTTTGGGAGCTCAAGGCCCCATTTTCCCGCAGCTGTCTCAGTGACAGATTTCCATTCCCAGCCATTTCTTTTATTGCTTTCTTCTCTCTTTTCCATGGCCAAGTCTGATGGGAAAAGGAGTTGGGAAATATATGCTGGTTCGAAGGGTGTTTCTGGCAGCTCACAGGCTAATATTCTTTGGTTCCTTGAATGTTTCTTGCTTGGAACTTGCTCCCCCCATGTCTGGAGGTTTTGTTTAATGAACCTGCAGACCTTCTCTACGTGGCTTCTATTTTTCCAGCAAAGGGCTGAGGCTTTTGTGGGCTTATTGTGAAGCTTTGTATGGGCCAAGGTAGTTCATTAAATAAGTGGGCTATATTGTTAAATATTGGGCTTTTGAGTCAATAGGCTATTTGGGGCTATTTGGGTTATTTAGGCTATTTCTTTTCCTCTTGTGCTCACCCACATGTTTGGGCCTAAGAAATGGGCTTGAGTCTCGAGGCTCCCAAGCAACCCGAGACTTTCATCCATACCACAACCCACTCAAGCAAGCCCCGGCATTTGAGTGGCTTGGGCCCACTTAGGCTTGTAGCGTGGTTGGGTGTGTAATAATGATTTCCTACTTGGCATGGCATGGCATGTCGCTTGGCATGGCACATCGCTTGGCATGCTTTTTATTATGCTTGATGGGATAATTAGCATGGATTTGCAGGGCCGATATATTCTAGCATGACGAATTATTTATGTAGCATGGCATGTGGATTGCAACTCGCATGTGGCGGGTTTTTGTGTACTCCGCTTTACGCCTTTCCTTGATAGAGTGTCATTTTGGGCCGATAATTTATTCGGGCCCGACCGTGGATTTTTTGGGCCTCAACAATCCCTAACATAGAACAATACAAGCAAAGATAGTCAATTGTCATACACACAAAATTAGTCCTCATCCATCCCTGCAGGCGGATCTCTTACTAGGGCCACCTGCTGGTTTTGCCATTATAATCTACAAGATAGTCAAAGCATTGTCAAGTTTTCCGCCTTATGTGTGCCCACAGTTAGAACAAGCAAGCCAAGAGAATATAATAAAACTAAACTTATACGTATCAAGTCTAAAAGAACAAATAATGTACAATAAGTAGGACCCTTTTTGCCAAAACAAAGCATATTGGATCCATATCAGCAAAGCAATAAGAATTGTCCAATTTGGAAATCTCCAACTCAATCACCAATGTCATAAATCAATATTAATAACAATTTCACGAATCAAGCACAATCTTGGATACTGCACTTCTGTTTCTTTCTGCAGTTTTATCTTGACAATTTCTGTTTCTTTCCCCTTCTCTTTTCAAATTGCACAAGAAAAAGAAAAGGCCCCAACTTGTTTATTGTATTGTTATTGCCTTTTTATTGCTCGTGTATTGTCACTGTATTGCTCGTTTATTGCTACCTTATTGTTTTTGTATTGCATGTCTGCTACCACTTCATAATTTATGTGCCATTGCTTTTGTATTGCTTTTTGGTTGGTTTTCTTAATTAATATAATTTCTTGCAGGGGAAGCAACTATGAGTTTGATTTATTAAAAGGATGTGACGTCATTAATGGAATCACATTCTTACAATAATAAATAATAAATAATAAATAAATAAGCAATAATGGAATCACATTCTTACACCAATAGCTGAACACGAATCAATCATATTGAAGAGATGCATATACAGTGCTTCTTGTACCTTATTTATATGATAATGAATAATGATCCAGCATTTTCCTTTACAAAATAAACTTACACAATCAAGCATTTCCTTTTACAAAATATTCTTATAAGTTCCTTCACAAGACAGACTTGAAAAAACTGGTGACAACAAAAAAATATAAGTGTAATAACCAGGCAATACCACAACACTACAATGACAATATGATGACAATACAAATGCAATACGGAAGCAATACAATGGCAATACAAAAACTCCACATTCCCACTACATATTCATAATCTACACAACATATTACAAAAAGGACACGACATCCTTAATGGAATCACATTTTACACTCCTGCAACGTCAAAATACCCTCAAGCAAGGAATGGGTGGCGGAGAGGCTTTTGTAAAAGTTGAGGATGTAAAAGATGTTCTTGACTTGAAGGTGGATTAGTTACTGGCCAAAGGCTTCTTAGGAAATTATTTTCCTTTCGCAACTCTCCAAGAGCTAATCCGACCTGAGGAAAAAAACAGAGTCAGAGATACATAGGCATAACTAGTAACACCAGAGAACTCAGATAAATCACCAATATAATTGTCCTTCATAGATTAGGCCTAACTCTATTTCAGCACCTTAACATGTTGGTGGCAGGTGGTTTGAGCTCCAACCACTTCGTGAAATTAACCAAAATAAAAACCATTCTCCAAAATTGATACTTTCTCTTCCGAAATTAGAAAACTAACAATTTTGCTAAAGAGAATTTTATCTTTTTCTGCATGAGTAAACAGTGCGGATTGAGATGACTGAGATGAAGGTTTATTTATCTTCCTCTATTCAAAAAATAACAATCATATCTATTTTTGGATAGTGATTTATATTTTGGGTCATTTGAGCATAGAATCCTTCAAGATTTGAGTATAGTTATGATAATTCTTTGTGATGTTCTGAGACCAAAATTGAACTTCATAATTTAACCCAATTATTTCATAGAAGTGAAAGACACATACCCTGACAGTGACATAACCAGCTGGTATCAGACCTTTCCTTATCCTTGTGATGTATCTTTGGAGAAGCACTCATCAATTATTGACTGCCTGAAAGGTAAGGAAAGGTTATTGAGATCGAGATATGGAGCTTTGCATGTTAATGTTAAGGATTGAAGTTGAATTAACAATTAAACACCAGCAACTAAGATTTATTACTTGTTTAAAACACTTTCTTCATCAGGCTGGACTTCCACTGCAAATTCTTCAATCGCAGCTTTGACTGCATTCTCATCTCCAGAGTTTAAGCTTATCAAATGCTTCTCTAGATCAGATAATTTATGATGAACAAAAACAGTTCAATAGCAAATTTTAGTTTGACATAGTAACTATGAAGAAGAATTATATCAAAGAATCTAATAATAATGGATGTGTATAATGCAGTCTCTTAGCTTTGCAGATCACTTAGAGGGGCAAATCTTGTGAGCTAATACTTCTGAGACTTGGTTTCAGAGGAAGAAAATTATAGGGAAGGAATGAGAAAATTACCTCAAGAGGGACAAAATGGGTTGCCAATCCAGCTGCAACCAATTCCTTACCATTCAATCTTGCTCCTGTTAAGGCAAAGAACTCCCCTGCGTTCCCCACACAATACCAATCAATTTCAGTAAAATCCAGGAAAAACTATTTTCCTCTATATTTGCATGCTTACCAAGATGCCCAGGAAGATGGGATACATATGAGAAACCACAATCAGTATGAAAGCCAATACTAGCTTCTGGAGTTGCAAATACCTATCATGAAATACACCATAGAAAATTTTGATGTCAGAGATAGATATCAAGCTAGAAAACACTAAAGATAGATATCAAGCCAGAAAACCAATCAATTTTGATGTCATTGTGCATTTTGGATCTATAGTCTGTCTATACTTCATTGGCACCAGCAGTGAAGTCTTGGACTAACTTTGCAGCTTTCTTTTGGTACCTATATATTGTTATAAAATATAAAATAATCAAATATATCACTTCTTCATTTATTGTTATAGCAGAACTTTGCGGTATAAATAACCTCAAGCTTCGAAAAATCCAAATCAGATATAAAGTAGAAAGAAGGTAAAGAAGCTTACTATCCATAAAGAAGAAAAATCATAGATAACACACAGCAGATAAACAATGTTGATAATGCGAGAGGCCGAGATAATATCAGCAAATTGATCAGTGCACCTATCCCCTGAATATAGAAAAACTGTAACTTAGACTAGACTATTAAAAAAATCAAATGCACATTTGGGGGAGGGGAAGGGTAAGAACCACAACTTGAAGAACATTGCGTAAGATTAAACTAATATCATTCGCAATAACAAGAGATAATCGTTGACAATCTGCCCCAAGTCTGCTTGTCAAATCACCAACTGCTTCTCTGTCGAAAAAGGATATATCCTACATCAAAGATTACACCAAAATAGAGTACAGAATTGAATAAAATCGGAGATCAAGCAAGTCAACATTGCTTTAAATAAATTTGTTGACAATTGGCACACCCAATTGTTGCAATTACTAAATGAAACACAAACTTGGAAAAGAAGAACTGAGTAAAGAGTTTCCCTGAGATGCTTCATCTGCATTATGATGTTTCGAGCAGCAGATGGTGTATAAAGAAATTAGATAACAATCCCGGAAATAAAAAAATAGATAAAACCATGCTTTCAAACAGAGAAAGCACAAATGCACAAATCTTCTGGGCACAAACTTTCAACAAAGTCACAATCTTTTGCATTTGATTTCTGTGAACAGTGCCTTTTCCATTTACGAACTTTCAACAAAGTCACAATCTTCTGGGCACAAAACAAATCCTAACCAATTTCAAAGCAACCTCTAAACCCTAAAACCCTAAACCAATTTGGAAGAAACCCCTAAACCAATTTCATACAAATCTATACACTATAAACTAAATTCACAAAAACCCCAAATTTCTAAGAAAAGGAACGTGAACAGTACCTCGTGGATGTGAACTATGGAGTTAAGCTTGGATGGCTTAGGGAGTGGCTAAGCTTTTGTTTTTCTGGGTTGGACTTGTAAGACCAGATAACCCTAGATAGGGGATAAAGATTGAGTTTTTTTGTTGAGAAATTGACACAGGAATGGATTTCGCGAGAGTGGGAGAAACAGAGTGGTGGTGGTCATGGAGCGACGGTGGAGAGATAAAACGCTGAGAGAGGAAGAGAGAACGCAGACAGCCACTGTTGAGGGAGAAAGATGATTGTTGTCGAAGAGAGAGAGGTACACGAGGGAGAGAGACGGTCGAAGAGATAGAGCGAGTTAGAGAGAGAGAGAGAGAGAGCAATTTCTGAAAAACTGATATGGGTACAATAAGTGGACAATAATTTTATATTTATAGGTTGTAGTTGTACAAAAATTAGGAAGAGATGGTATTTTTAGTTAAAATTAGCAAATGGGTGGCATTGGAGGTCATTTCCCAAAATTAATGCCTAGTCTCACCCCAAAAAGTAACTGAGAAGAATTACCTCCCTCATGAGCCTATCCTCTCCCTGGTCAGTGATGGATGAACCACCATTTGTCTTCAACCCAAAATTTTCTGCTGAGATTAGAATTAAATATCTTTCTTTCTGGCAGAGCCTGGTTGATGAAATTGACTGAATCAAAGCTTAAATTAATAGTTTATTTAAAATTGGACCTTGAATTGCGTATAATATATTGCATGACAACTTGACAGCTTGAAAGCTATGCCAACAACCATGATACACATGTTTTAGTTAGTCCTCACAAGTCACATATTCTGTCTTTCTATCTTTCATTGAGGACCCTTTTTTTCTCTCTCTCTCTCTCTCTCTCTCTCTCATTTCCTCAGAAACCTAAACTGCAGCCATGCCTTTGGGACGAGCATTTGAATCTGCTTCTGTAAGCCTGTTGCTTAACAAGTTGGCTACCCAGGATGTAATAGATTTTTTCCTCAAGTGGGAACCCGATGGATCCCTATTAGGAAAGCTCAAGACGAACCTACTAATAATTCATGCAGTTCTCAATCATGCTGAGGAGAAGCAAATCAAAGACTTACATGTCAAAGCTTGGATTGAGGAGGTCAGAGTTGCAGCTTATGATGCCGAGGACATTGTGGCTGAGATCGCCAATGATGCTCTTGAATCACAAAACAGCAAAAACAAGGTATTGAACTTTGTCTGTGACTCTTTCAATACAAATGAAATAGTCAAGGAAAAGCTGGACTTTAAGATGAAAGACATTGGTAATGCTCTTAATCCCTTTCGGGAACGTGTTGAGCCAAAAATGAAAAAGATCATAGAAAGACTAGATGAAATTGCAAAACAAAAAGATATTCTTCGTTTGAGAGAAGATGTTGGTGGGGTATCATTCGGGGTTGATAGATTGCCAACAACTCCAATGGTTAATGAATCTCATGTTTATGGCAGAGAGTTTGATAAGGAGGAGATAATTAAGTTGCTGGATTTGGGCAAGGAAAATGATGATAAGGTTTCCATAATTCCAATTGTCGGCATGGGAGGTATTGGAAAGACAACACTTGCTCAAATTGTGTACAATGATGACACCGTGGCTAGGCATTTTAATTTGAAAGCGTGGACTTGTGTATCTGATTCATTTGATGTCGTCAGGATAACAAAAACACTTGTTGAGTCTGCCACAAAGAAAACTTTGAGCACAAACAATCTGGAATTAATTCAAGAAGATCTGAAAAGATTATTGAACAAAAGGAAATTTCTGCTGGTTTTGGATGATGTCTGGAATGAGAAGTACGAAAGTTGGGACGAGTTACGAGTACCTTTCACAGTTGGTGCTCCAGGGAGTAGAATTATAATCACAACACGCTCTCAAAAAGTTGCATCACTTGTGGGCACTGTTCTACCTTACCATTTGAAGGCACTGTCGGAAAATGATTGTCTGTCATTATTTGAACAAATTGCGTTTGAAAACAGGAATTTAGATGCCTGTCCAAACTTGAAAGCGATTGGAAAGAAAATAGTAGAGAAGTGTAAAGGGTTGCCTTTGGCAGCAAAGGCACTTGGGGGTCTCCTGCACGCTGAACCTCAACCGGATGAGAGTTTTTGGAATGACATCTTGAATAGCAAAATTTGGGAACTGCCAGACAACAACATTCTACCAGCTCTAAGGTTAAGCTACTATCACCTCCCTGGGATTTTGAAGCGATGCTTTGCATATTGCTCAATGTTTCCTAAGGACTATGAATATGACAGAGAGATGCTAATCATGTTATGGATGGCAGAGGGTTTTGTGCAGGAGCCGGAGGGAAATAAAAGAATTGAAGATGTAGCTGGAAAGTATGTTTCTGAATTATTATCAAGGTCCTTCTTCCAACAATGCATCAATGACAAGTCACGATTTATGATGCACGATCTCATCCATGATCTAGCTCAATCTGTTTCTGGAAAAACATTTTTCAGGTTGGAGGAAAATGCAGAGAATAATAGCGAGCCCACAAAAACCCGTCACTTATCATACATTCGTAAACTTGAAGATGTATTTCAGAAATTTGAGCCATTCAGCAAAGTTGAGTCTTTGCGAACCTTTCTACCATTAGACCCATTGCAAGGGTTCAATCTGAGCAGATTAACCCCAAAGGTTCCTCATGATATGATGCCAAAACTTAGATTCTTGCGTGTGCTATCCTTTAGTGGTTATCTCATAGCTAAGTTGCCAGATTCAATTGGCAATTTGAAACATCTTAGGTACCTCAATCTATCTTATTGTGAAATAAAAGAGTTGCCTGAGTCAACAAGCAACCTATACAATCTGCAGACATTGATATTATTTCGATGCGTATCTCTTACCACGCTGCCTACAGATATGGGAAACCTAAGGAATTTACAGCATCTCAATATTCTAGGAACTAGGCTGAAGAGTATGCCTCTGAGAATGGGAAGATTGATTAACCTTCAAACACTCTCAGATTTTGTTGTGGGGAAACACATTGGATCAGGGATAGCAGAGTTAAAAGACTTGTCACATCTTCGAGGTTCACTTTCCATTTCTGGTTTGCATGAAGTCAGTGTTGGGGATGCAATTCGGGCGAAAATGCAGGTTAAGCAACACCTTGATGAACTAGTTATGGAATGGAGCAGTGATGATGATTTGCGAAATGAACAAATTGAGACAGATGTATTGGATGCATTACAGCCTCATGAAAACCTGAGTAAACTCACCATTAGCTACTACGGTGGTACAAAATTTCCAAGTTGGATGTGTGATCCTATATTCACTGGCATGGTATACCTGCATCTCAAAGGTTGCGCAAAATGCACATCTTTACCATCCCTTGGCCAACTGCCTTCTCTTAAAGATCTTGTAATTGAAGCAATGGATGGAATAAATCATGTCGGACTTGATTTTTATGGGGATGGTGATGCTTCTACAATTCCTTTTCCGTCTTTGGAAACTTTGAAATTTGAGAACATGAAAGAGTGGGAGGAATGGTCATCTTTAGAAGATGGAAGACTTCAAGGAATTCCTGGCCTTCGTGAGCTTTCTTTATTCAGATGTCCGAAGTTAAGAAAGTTCTCTCATGGATTTGCTTCCCTGAAAAAACTGCGCATCAAGTATTGTGGGGCTTTGACTAGTTTTTCTCATCATCCTGAACTTGGAAACTTAGAACCTGTACAATTCCCTAGCCTTCAACAGCTTGTTCTTGTAGGTTGCAAAGAGCTTGAAGATCTTCCTGTTACCCTGCCTTCATTGGAAGGTCTTGAGATAGATGGTTGCGAAAAATTGGCTGCACTTCCAAGGCTAATGGGACTTTGTACATTGTCTGTGTTAGATTCTAATGCTGAATTACTGGGATGTATGAATGAACTAACCTCACTGACCTCTCTGCACTTGAATCATATTTCACATGTCAAGTCACTGCCTGAGGGCTTTATACGACATTCCACAAAGCTTGAAGAATTGAGTCTTGATAGCTTTTCTGAACTTAATCAGTTGTCAAATGAGCAAGTTGGACTGACAGATCTTGCATCCCTCCAACGCTTGACAATCTCCAATTGTCCTCAATTTGTTGCTTTTCCCAATGAAGCTGATAAGCTGCCTCCTGTGCTTAACTATTTGAGTTTAAAACATTCTGAGAGCCTGTTGAAGTTTCCAGATGAGCTTTACAAACTTAAGTTTCTTACAGAGTTGAGGATTGAATGGTGTCCAAAGATTGAATCATTTCCAGATACAGGGTTTCCCTCCATGCTTAAGCGTCTTGTAATCGGTGAGTGTGGCGGTCTTAAGAGCCTTCCGAAGGAGGTGTTACACAACAACAATTGTCTTGAGTATTTGGACATACATAAATGTTCCTCTTTGATATCATTTCTTGAGGAAGGAAACTTGCCTGCTACTCTGAAACATATGAAAGTTTACTACTGCAAAATTCTAACATCACTGCCTGGGGGTTTAATGATCAAAGACAACATGACTCTTCAGTTTTTGGAGATAGACAACTGCCCCTCTCTCTTGTCCTTCCCAAGTGGTGAATTACCCACAACACTAGAGCGTCTTGAGATTGGTGATTGCTCAAAACTCCAGACCTTACCATTCAACCTTGTCAACCTCGTAAATCTTGAGACCTTGGAAGTAATTAGATGCCCCCTTCTTGAGCATTTTCCAGTGGGTGGGTTGCCAACCAACATGAAGTCAGTTAGAATTTCTGAATGTGAGAAGCTCAAGTCCCTACCTGAGTTTATTTACAAACTCAAACGGCTTCAAAAATTGGAGATATCTTTTTGTCCAAGTCTCATATCCTTGCCAAAGTCGGGACTGCCCACCAATTTAAGATTACTGACAGTTACAGATTGTGAAATGCTTAATCCTGTAGATGAGTGGAAACTTCACAAACTCAAATCTCTTCATGATCTCACCATTGGTGGATTTCCTGGCCTCGTGTCGTTTTCAAATGAGTACCGTCTTCCACACACTCTAACCTGTCTTGTTGTCCAAAGACTCCCTGATCTTGAATCCATATCGGAGGCGCTCCAGGATCTCGACTCACTTCAAAAATTGGTTATTAGTGAGTGTGATAAGCTCCAATCTTTGCCAATGAATGGGCTGCCAGCTATGCTTGGTGACCTATCTATTCGTTATTGTCATCTTCTTCAACATCGGTGTGAGCGGGACAAGGGAGAGGATTGGTCCAAGATTGAAAACATCCCCTATGTACATTTGAGGTAGTTTTGTGAGTTGTGCTTTCTGATTCCCTGAAACAGTGGCATTCATATATTTTCGTTCCCTTTACAATGGCATTCGTATTTTAGCATAGCTTTACACATCCTGTTCTTAACCATAAACCCTTTATTCTCCATGCAGTTAAGAGTTGTAAACAATCCATGATTTACACCCAACTGGAGCCCTAAAATATATGGAGGTTAGCTTTTTAAGCAAGCTGCTTCTTGCTACTCTCAACTTCTTTGCACCCCTGCATCCATGATTTAAAATTGCATCAAATAAAAGTACCAGACTCAGGGTTGTGCATGGATGCGTGTGACTGCCAGAGGATCCGCAGCCTATATTCTCTGCTATGTGGACAGTTGCAGGCAAGAACCCCTGAATATGCTACATGATTACAAAGACACAAGCAATGTATTAAACTGTCAATATTACTCTGTCTGCACATTATGCTACATGATTACTCTGTTAAAATTGCGCACATAAATAGTTCAAATGGTATTTGTGGAAATTATCAATCAAACTGCAAAACTACAATGCAATAATTTTGAAACACCAAGTATGGTACTGAAGTGTTAAAATTGAAAACACGATTCTTCAAATAGCTCAAATACGGAAATGATGTCATGTCTATTAGGGGCAAGCACAATCCTGATTGGAATGGTTTTACCAGAAAACAGAGGCAAAATTAATTACAATAGAACGGTTTTGGTTTGGTTCAATTTTGATAAAATTAATGAGGAAACGAAACCAAATCAAACCAATTATGGAAGATAATATTTGGTTTGGTTTGGTCCTAAACCCAATCCTTTTTTCTTCTACATTTCTTTAACTTTATTAGTCCAATTACAACAACAACAACAAAAAAATCATAACTTGCTACATAGTTTTCATTTTCTAGCATATCAAACTATCCTAAAATTCAATATTAAATCAAACTTGATGTCAATAACTACTTTAGTTACAAATTCAAATATCAATATTTTCAAACTTTAAATTCAACATTTTTATATAATTATTATCCAAGAAGAGAATTACACGCGTAAAATAAAATAAATATACAAGATTTGGGAACTGCCAGACAACAACATTCTACCAGCTCTAAGGTTAAGCTACTATCACCTCCCTGGGATTTTGAAGCGATGCTTTGCATATTGCTCAATGTTTCCTAAGGACTATGAATATGACATAGAGATGCTAGTCATGTTATGGATGGCAGAGGGTTTTGTGCAGGAGCCCGAGGGAAATAAAAGAATTGAAGATGTAGCTGGAAAGTATGTTTCTGAATTATTATCAAGGTCCTTCTTCCAACAATGCATCAATGACAAGTCACAATTTATGATGCACGATCTCATCCATGATCTAGCTCAATCTGTTTCTGGAAAAACATTTTTTAGGTTGGAGGAAAATGCAGAGAATAATAGTGAGCCCACAAAAGCTCGTCACTTATCATACGTTCGTAAACATGAAGATGTTTTTCAGAAATTTGAGCCGTTCAGCAAAGTTGAGTGTTTGCGAACCTTTCTACCGTTAAACCCATTGCAAGGGTTCAATCTGAGCAGCTTAACAAACAAGGTTCCTCGTGATATGATTCCAAAACTTAGATTCTTGCGTGTGCTATCCTTTAGTGGTTATCTCATAGCTAAGTTGCCAGATTCAATTGGCAATTTGAAAAATCTTCGATACCTCAATCTATCTCATTGTGAATTAAAAGAGTTGCCTGAGTCAACAAGCAACCTATACAATCTGCAGACATTGATATTATTTCGATGCGTATCTCTTACCACGCTGCCTACAGATATGGGAAACCTAAGGAATTTACGGCATCTCAATATTCTAGGAACTAGGCTGAAGAGTATGCCTCTGAGAATGGGAAGATTGATTAACCTTCAAACACTCTCAGATTTTGTTGTGGGGAAACACATCGGATCAGGGATAGCAGAGTTAAAAGACTTGTCACATCTTCGAGGTTCACTTTCCATTTCTGGTTTGCATGAAGTCAGTGTTGGGGATGCAATTCGGGCGAAAATGCAGGTTAAGCAACACCTTGATGAACTAGTTATGGAATGGAGCAGTGATGATGATTCACGAAATGAACAAATTGAGACAGATGTATTGGATGCATTACAGCCTCATGAAAACCTGAGTAAACTCACCATTAGCTACTATGGTGGTACAAAATTTCCAAGTTGGATGTGTGATCCTGAATTCACTGGCATGGTATACCTGCATCTCAAAGGTTGCGCAAAATGCACATCTTTACCATCCCTTGGCCAACTGCCTTCTCTTAAAGATCTTGTAATTGAAGCAATGGATGGAATAAATCATGTCGGACTTGATTTTTATGGGGATGGTGATGCTTCCACAATTCCTTTTCCGTCTTTGGAAACTTTGAAATTTGAGAACATGAAAGAGTGGGAGGAATGGTCATCTTTAGAAGATGGAAGACTTCAAGGAATTCCTGGCCTTCGCGAGCTTTCCGTATTCAGATGTCCGAAGTTAAGAAAGTTCTCTCATGGATTTGCTTCCCTGAAAAAACTGCGCATCAAGTATTGTGGGGCTTTGACTAGTTTTTCTCATCATCCTGAACTTGGAAACTTAGAACCTGTACAATTCCCTAGCCTTCAACAGCTTGTTCTTGTAGGTTGCAAAGAGCTTGAAGATCTTCCTGTTAACCTGCCTTCATTGGAAGGTCTTGAGATAGATGGTTGCGAAAAATTGGCTGCACTTCCTAGGCTAATGGGACTTTGTACATTGTCCGTGTCAGATTCTAATGCTGAATTACTGGGATGTATGAATGAACTAACCTCACTGACCTCTCTGCACCTGAATCATATTTCACATGTCAAGTCACTGCCTGAGGGCTTTATTCGACGTTCCGCAAAGCTTGAAGAATTGAGTCTTGATAGCTTTTCTGAACTTAATCAGTTGTCAAATGAGCAAGTTGGACTGACAGATCTTGCATCCCTCCAACGCTTGACAATCTCCAATTGTCCTCAATTTGTTGCTTTTCCCAATGAAGCTGATAAGCTGCCTCCTGTGCTTAACTATTTGAGTTTAAAACATTCTGAGAGCCTATTGAAGTTTCCAGATGAGCTTTGCAAACTTAATTTTCTTACAGAGTTGAGGATTGAATGGTGTCCAAAGATTGAATCATTTCCAGATACAGGGTTTCCCTCCATGCTTAAGCGCCTTGTAATCGGTGAGTGTGGTGGTCTTAAGAGCTTTCCGAAGGAGGTGTTACACAACAACAATTGTCTTGAGTATTTGGACATACATAAATGTTCCTCTTTGATATCATTTCTTGAGGAAGGAAACTTGCCTACTACTCTGAAACATATGAAAGTTTACTACTGCAAAATTCTTACATCACTGCCTGGGGGTTTAATGATCAAAGACAACATGACTCTTCAGATTTTGGAGATAGACAACTGCCCCTCTCTCATATCCTTCCCAAGTGGTGAACTACCCACAACACTAGAGCGTCTTGAGATTGGTGATTGCTCTAAACTCCAGACCTTACCATTCAACCTCGTCAACCTCGTAAATCTTGAGACCTTGGAAGTAATTAGATGCCCCCTTCTTGAGCATTTTCCAATGGGTGGGTTGCCAACCAACATGAAGACAATTAGAATTTCTGAATGTGAGAAGCTCAAGTCCCTACCTGAGTTTATTTACAAACTCAAGCGGCTTCAAAGGTTGGAGATATCTTTTTGTCCAAGTCTCATATCCTTGCCAAAGTCGGGACTGCCCACCAATTTAAGATTACTGAGGGTTACAGATTGTGAAATGCTTAATCCCGTAGATGAGTGGAAACTTCACAAACTCAAATCTCTTCATGATCTCACCATTGGTGGATTTCCTGGCCTCGTGTCGTTTTCAAATGAGTATCTTCTTCCACACAGTCTAACCTCTCTTGTTCTCCAAAGACTCCCTGATCTTGAATCCATATCGGAGGCGCTCCAGAATCTCACCTCACTTCAAAATTTGGTTATTAGTGAGTGTGATAAGCTCCAATCTTTGCCAATGAATGGGCTGCCAGCTACGCTTGGTGACCTATCTATTCGTTATTGTCATCTTCTTCAACGTCGGTGTGAGCGGGACAAAGGAGAGGATTGGTCCAAGATTGAAAACATCCCCTTTGTACTTTTGACGTAGTTTTGTGAGTTGTTCTTTCTGATTCCCTGTAAATGTGGCATTCAATATTTTCGTTCCCTGTAAGATGGCATTCATATTTTAGCATAGCTTTACACATCCTGTAAGCCCTTTATTCTCCATCCAGTTATGAGTTGTAAACAATCCCTGATTTACACCAACTGGAGCCCTAAAATATACGGAGGCTTTTTAAGCAGCTGCTTCTTACTACCCTCAACTTCTTTGCACCCTTGCATCCATGATTTAAAATTGCATCAAATAAAAGTATTAAACTCAGGGATGTGCATGGATGTGTGTGACTGCCAGAGGATCCGCAGCCTATATTCTCTGCTATGTGGACAGTTGCAGTTGCAGCCAAGAAGCCCTAAATATGCTACATGATTACAAAGACATAATTCAACTTGCTTCTATCTCTTTCCATATTCAGGAGTAAATATTATCAAAATCTTGTGAGTTTGAGATCATAACCCACAATCTGTCCGTTTAAGGACCTTGATATTTTTCACCAAAATACCTTAAAACGATTGTAATTGTAATTGTAGAGAAAAGATTTTAACTAAACGTAAAAATGAAGTGATGTATTACAAATTTATTTATAGGTTAAAATTGCGCACATAAATAGTTCAAATGGTATTTGTGGACATTATCACAAGTGCAGAGGTAACTACTCTTAACCACTTGAACTACAAACACTTTCTCTTTAGACGTTCTTTTCTATCCCTTCAATTTTATATTGCACGCTATAGTTGTTTTTACTATGAATAGACAGAGGTACCACTTGTGCCATGTTAGTGGCGCTTGAGATATTGGAAGAGACAAGAGAGTGGGGAGTGATAGATAAGGTTGATCGGCGGGTTGACGGACTCTTGGTTGTTGGGACGGGTTAGGCGTTGTGGGGCTGGGGAATGCAGAGGATGACAGAGGAGGTTGCCGGAAGAGATGACGAAAGAGGAAAGGAGTATTTAGGGGGTTGTATTCAATTAAGATTTTAATAGATTGTTTTGAAGCTTAAAAGTCTAGTAGTATTCAATTAGGATTTTCAAGTAATCAATAAAAGTACGTTGGTATTTAATTAGGATTTTTAAGTAGTCAATAAAAGTATTGTGGTATTCAAAAACTGATCGATTTTAAAGTATTTCATTAAGTGGTGTATTGTGTGAGATTTTAAGTGGGTAATATAACTACCAAATCTCATAACAAATCTCACCCTTACATGCCTGATTCTTATAACCCACGCACTGCCCTTGGTAAGAACCAATAAAAAGAACCACACCAGAGCAGATAACTGAAAAAATGACCAGACTAGGCATAAAAAACAAACGTATGTGTTGATGCAGCGGAACAAGAACAAAATATATAATTTTAACTCCGTTAATTCTAAGAATGCCCAGAACTAAACTCTAATATGTTAAAATATAGTTTTTAATCTTCTGCTTTTTTAATTCAATTTTTAATTTTTATTATTAATTTATTTCACCTAAGAAAACAATGTGAATCCCATATGTGTCACATCATGACTGAAACAGATTTTCTAACAATCAATCTAACTGCAAAACTACAAGTACTAATTTTGAACACACCAAGTATGGTACTTCAAATTGAAAACACGATCCTTCAAATAGCTCAAGTAAGGAAAGGATGAGGTGCCTATTAGGGGCAAGCACAATCCTAATTGGAATGGTTTTACCAAAAAAATAAAGGCAAAATTAATTACAATAGAAAGGTTTTGGTTTGGTTCAATTTTGATAAAATTAATGAGGAAACCAAACCAAATCAAACAAATTATGGAAGATTATATTTAGTTTGGTTTGGTCCTAAACCCAATCCTTTCTTCTTCTACATTTCTTTAATTTTATTAGTCCAACTACAACAACAACAAAAAATCATAACTTGCTACATAGTTTTCATTTTCTAGTATATAAAACTATCCTAAAATTCAACATTAAATCAAACTTGACATCAATAACTACTTTAGTTACAAATTCAAATATCAATAACTTCAAACCTTAAATCCAATATTTTTATATAGTTATTATCTAATGAGAAGATTACACGTAAAATAAAATAAATATTCAAGTGGACAGTCTCGTTCTGTTTGAATTGGTTTGCAAAATCCAAAAATCACAGTCGAGTCAAGCTATTCAATTTAATTCAGTTTGGCTTTTTATCACAAAACATCCCTCGCGTTTGCGAAACTATCAGATTGAATCCTTAAAGTTTTTTTGTATCACTTATGATCCCTAACGTTAATATAGGTGCTCTTAAATAGCCCATCTGTCAAAAAAATTGTTAAATTCAAGAATATAATCGTCAACTCAATCCAAAATTATATAATATATATATTATTTCCTTCCTCGTGTCTTTTTCTCTCTTTTTGTTTTTTATCTCTCTTCTTCTGCTGTCTCCAATTCTCTCTTTTTCTTCCTCTAGCCGATTCTTCTTCCTCTTTTATATTTCTCTTTTTCTTCCTCTGTTTTTCTGTTTTTCTTCTTCTTCTTTCTCTCTTTGTTTTCTTCTTCTTCTTTCTCTCTGCGAGATTCCTCATCTCTGAGATTTGAGAAAGCCCTCCGCACAAGCTCCTGAGCTCATCACTTGACCAAAACCCACCCCTTAGTTTGTGACAACTTATCTTCAGAACCAGAATACCACTTAGTTTCTTTTTTCCTTCTCTTATAATCCCCCTCTTGTAACACCCCGACCCCAAATTTATCCCATGTTTTAATTTATTTAAGTGGAATTGAGAAATTACCCGTGGGATAGGGGTATTTTAGTCATTTTCTTATCCAGAAGGAATTTGGGAATTCCGGATGTACCGTTGCGTAGAGCACGGCGAGATGAGTCTGTAGACACGTAGTGGGCTCGAAACAGAGTTATAACGAGAGAGATATGATCAAAAGAAGCTCAGTGGCAAAATCGTAAATATTTGGAAAATGGATTTTTGGTTAAAAGACGGAATTGCCCCCGTCTCTCACACACTCTCTCTCTCCCGCGCGTCGCTCTCTCTCTCCTCTGGTTCGCGACAGCCACCGTGGCCGACCATGTTTTGGCCGGCCGTTCGCTCGTCCGGCCACCAAAGTCGACGGGGCCGGTACCAAAATGACCGGGCCGCCGTCCTCTTCCTACCCCGGCCAGGTCCCGTGCCAGCTGCCGTGATTTCGCCGGAAAACGAGGAGAAAAGCTCCGGTTTTGACAGAAACTTCGCCTGCTTCGTTCTCCGTCGTCCGGCCGCCATTTTTGGCGATCAAGGTATGGAAATTCATCCCTTCTGCATGATCTAGCTGATGGTTGGGTAGGATTGCATCGATTTTGAGCGTAGGAGGTCTGATCTTCGAATTGGATTTCGGCCGGATTTCGAGGGGAGATTCCGGCCACTTCCGGTCAGATTTTGGGGTACGTCCAAGAACAAAAGTGACTCCAAATTAGGTGTTTTACCTAGGGTAGGAGTCTTGAGCCGTGATTCGTGGTTTTTCCAGCGATGGGTTATCGCTTTGGACACCCACGCGCTGCCGGCGCGTGGGCGGCGCGTGGGCACTGTAGCTGAGGGGCATTTTTGTCCCAATGTGATCCTTTCGATGTCACGAGCGCGTAGGTGTGCTCGGATTTCAATTTGGATACCGTTAGAGTTCCGAACGGATATCGCATATCGTGTATTTTCCGGGTTCGCTAGGGTTGGACCGTTGTATGGTCCTGAAGTTATAATATGTTGATCTAAGTATTACCAGGATCATATAGGATTCGACGGATCGTAAAACGGAGTCCCGGATACTCCGGAAATGCCAACCCTGGGGTTAGGGTTTTAGTAACCGTCCGATTGTGCGATCGTGAGCAATCCGACCTTCCGATCTGGACCAAACTTGCAGGACATGTGTCCTAGAGCTTGTAGAACCTCTAGGAACTTTCGGATCGGAATTTGGAGGTTGTGGGCCCCGCAGGCCCGTTTGACCCTAGGTTGACCGTGAGACTCCCGAGATAGTCTTACCTTTCCTTGAGGGTTAGGATGACCTTAGTGACAGGTCTTGAGCGTTGTTGAGTTAAATGGATATTGTGGGTTTAGGATATAAATTGGTGAATTTAAATGTGGGAGTTTATGGAATGTTTTATTGGTTGATGTTATTGTATGATTAGAAATTACTTGATATATTTAATTGATTGTGTGGATGTATAATGATATATAAGGAGATTGAATGTTAGTTTACAGTGCTATACGCACTACTCCACGTACCCCCCATATGTTGAGGCCCAAGTGATGGTATGATGGCTGGTGAGAATGTAGTGTGAGGTCGCACGCGTCTTTGGATTAGCCGGCGTGTTGACAGACCCCGTACGTGGCCGGGTGCGTCCCGACGTATGAGTGGGAGATATGATGGTATGATGGCTGGTGAGAATGTAGCCAGGCCCAGTGTGAGGTCGCACGCGTCTTTGGATTAGCCGGCGTGTTGACAGACCCCGTACGTGGCCGGGTGCGTCCCGACGTATGAGTGGGAGATATGATGGTATGATGGCTGGTGAGAATGTAGCCAGGCCCAGTGTGAGGTCGCACGCGTCTTTGGATTAGCCGGCGTGTTGACAGACCCCGTACGTGGCCGGGTGCGTCCCGACGTATGAGTGGGAGATATGATGGTATGATGGCTGGTGAGAATGTAGCCAGGCCCAGTGTGAGGTCGCACGCGTCTTTGGATTAGCCGGCGTGTTGACAGACCCCGTACGTGGCCGGGTGCGTCCCGACGTATGAGTGGGAGATATGATGGTATGATGGCTGGTGAGAATGTAGCCAGGCCCAGTGTGAGGTCGCACGCGTCTTTGGATTAGCCGGCGTGTTGACAGACCCCGTACGTGGCCGGGTGCGTCCCGACGTATGAGTGGGAGATATGATGGTATGATGGCTGGTGAGAATGTAGCCAGGCCCAGTGTGAGGTCGCACGCGTCTTTGGATTAGCCGGCGTGTTGACAGACCCCGTACGTGGCCGGGTGCGTCCCGACGTATGAGTAGGAGATATGATGGT